GATTTTATTTTCTTTCAAATCCTTATTGCCACTCCACCAAACATCCAGCCCCTTAATATAGTTATAGTTTAATTTTGATTAGATTGATATTGCTTAGATTGATATTGCTTTTTTTTAATGCGTTCATTATTAATACTCAAACTAATTAAGTCTCCTTTTTTTTTTTTTTTTAAAGATTTATTTACTTATGCATACAGAACTGGGGTACAGGCCAGAGGTGCAGGGGCGGTGAGAGGATTCACCAGAGACAGAGTGGGGAGCAGAACAGGCAGATTGGTGAAGTGCACGGCTGAGGGGAGCAGAAGGCGAGACAGGAGAGGTCTGCTGTGCCATGTGGGTCAGCTCCCTGGCTGGGGATTGAACTCGTGCCGAAGTGGCTTTAGCTTCTTAGTGCTGCGCTTTAACCTATTGTACCACCAGGGAGGGCCCGAGGAAGATTTCTAAAGATGGGAGAAATTTTGTGCGTGTTTCAAAACTGAGGGTGGGAGTCCAGTGAAGGAGAGTGGAGGCAGTGAGTGAAGAGCTGATGGGCAATGAAAGGCTCCTGAGAAGGTGGCACAGATCTCCATGAGGGAGCCGGGGCCTGCCTAAGAAGAGAGCACTTGTGTGTCGTAGCTGGAGGGGGTAAGGAGAGAGCTGTCTTTGCTCACCTCCTTGTATAAAGTAGAGCGAGGTGCCGAGGTGGTGACAGAGGTAGCATGGTGGGCACCTGTTAGATTCTGCTGGGGACAGGTCACTGAGCTGCTGGCTGAGGTGAAGGTGGCTGTGTGTAGTGCATTTCCATTTGGTCCCATGTAAGGATCTTTGGCTTTGCTCCAGCTTTCCCCAGTGCTTGCTTTTCCTTCCCCATTCCACTTGCCACTTGGGCTTTGTTTGCTGTCCACATTCAACCCAGCTGAGGTCATGGCCTCATCCCTGTTGCCTCAGTGTGGTGCAGAAGACCCCCCTGCCCCCCATCACCAACAACTGAGTTGCGTCCCTGTGCTTGGTTCTCCCGAGCCCCAGTTCATTCTGATGCCTGTCAGAAGTCCACGACAATCAACCTCTGACCCTGAGGCTTGAGGGCAAGGGAAGCCTGTCCAGGGGTTGGTTGGTTGTTGTGCTGATTTCTCAGGGGCTTCCTGTGATCTTTTTTTTTTTTTAAAGGTTTACTTATTTATACATACAGACTGGGGTACAGGCCAGAGATTCAGAGGGTGAGAGGATTCACCAGAGACAGAGCGGGGAGCAGAACAGGCTGACCGACGAAGTACACTGCTGAGGGGAGCAGCGGGTGGCATGTGGGTCACCTCCTGGCCTGGGGATAGAGTTCGGGCTGCAGCGGCTGCAATAGCTTCATAGTGCTGCGCTTTAACCAGGTGCGCCCCCAGGGAGGGCCTGGCCTCCTGTAATCTTAATGGGGAAGATCTTTTCTGCTGAGGCATGACGCTGGAGACTGCAGAGGCCAGAACTCTGCCCTGGCTTCTGGTGCTGCGCCACATCTGTCTCCCTCTGCTCTGGCTCTGAACATCTGTTCTGCAGGGGGACACAAACCTGCCCAACTCCAGAGACTCCTGGACAGGGGGTGTGCGGGGCCATTCTGCAGCGAGGCCCGGTCATCTGAATCTGGCTGGGTCCATCTGGAAGAACTTAGCCTACAGTGAGTCAGGGGTGGGGGCTGAGTCTGTCACGTCCAGCGTCACTGTCTCTCCATGTGGGGGCAAGCCCGCTCAGGCCCCACCTCTTCGTTGTAGGCAGCAGGGCCTCCCTGAGCAGCTGCTGCTGCTCTCCGTCCAGCCTGTCCAGCTTGGGGACCTCCTATTCCTCCTCCTACCAGGACCTGGCCAAGCACATCGTGGACATCTCTATGGCTGATGTGAGTAAATGCCACACTCAGGCCACAGCTCCTGTGCTGGGAGGGGGGAGGGAACGCAAGCAGGGAGGGCGGGCACCGGGGGCTAACGTGAGCTCCGTCAGGGGAATTCAGTAACTGCTGGCCCCAGCCACCACGCCAAGGGCCTGCCTGGTGTGGTGCTCGCTAACGTGGGTACGGCCCCCGTGTCCCCAGGTGATGGCTGCTTGTTCAGACAACCTGCACAACCTCTTCAGTCGCCAGGCAGCAGCTGGCTGGAAGTAAGTCCGTCTGCATCATCTTGCCCACACCCTGCTTGCCTGTTCTCCTTTCCCCTCTCTGCGCTGGCTTCCTTGAGCTGCTCCCCCCGAGCTGCGCCTCTGAGACTCTGGAACCCCGTTTCACCTCCGTCGGCACCCTTCGTGTCTCCCAGCTACCAGGGTGAGGAGCAGGAGGTGCAGCTCTACTACAAGGTGTTTTCTTCTACTCGGCACGGCTTCCTGGGGGCGGGCATTGTGTCCCAGCCACTGTCGCATGTGTGGGCAGCTGTGAGCGACCCCACCCTGTGGCCCCTGTACCACAAGCCCATCCAGACCGCGAGGCTCCATCAGCGGGTGACCAACAGCATCAGCCTGGGTGAGCCCCGGGCAGGGGCACTGGGCAGGTGGGAGGGGGGGCGGGCAGTGCTCCCGGGAGGCAGCACCTCAACTTTAGTCAGGTCCAGTCCAGCTGGTGTCAGGTTACAGGATGATGGGGGTGGGGGAGGTGCAGGAGGCTTCTGGGACAGGAAGGATTGAGGCCTAGGCCTGGCACACACCTGCTGATTCCCCCTCTCTGACCCCACAGTGTATTTGGTGTGCAACACCGCCCTGTGCGCGCTGAAACAGCCGCGGGACTTCTGTTGTGTCTGCGTGGAAGCCAAAGAGGTGGGTGCCTTGCCCAGCTTCATGGTGTGTGTGTGTGGGGGTGGGGACTGGGGCCACGCAAGAGGGGCGTCCGCGTGGCAAGTCGTTGGGGTGGGGGGTGAAGGCAGGCCTAGGGCTGTTCGCAGTACTAACCAGGCTGGAGCCTGGCCCCATTCAGTTCACATCATGGAGGCAAGACGCGCGTTTCTGTTCCCAGGAACACTTGTCTATCATGGCGGCTCAGTCTGTGTATGACACGTCCATGCCGAGACCCAGCAGACAGATGGTCCGAGGTGAGATCCTGCCCAGTGCCTGGATCCTGCAGCCTCTCACTGTGGAAGGGAAGGAGCTCACCAGAGTCATCTACTTGGCCCAGGTGACCCACCTGCCCAGCCTCAGCCCCTGGGAGTTTTCTCTTTAACTTTGCACTTCGAAGGCCTATAGCCTGGGGGTCTTGAGACAACCGTAAGGGGAGTCTAGTCAGTGGAGGGAATGAATCAGCTGACCCAGCTTCTCTGAAAGCCAGCTTCTCTGCCAGCTTCTCTGACCCAGCTTCTCTGCCAGAGCCCGGCAGCCTGCATCCTCTGGCCTCCCCCATGCCCCGAGGTGACAGTGGAGTCAGGTTAGGCTAGAGCAGAGAGAGAAGGCAGCCACTCTGTTCTGCGTTCTCCAGTTTGACCTTTGTTGTTGGGGGTGGAGTTGCTGCTGGGGTCTGAGCAGCAGCATCTGGGCCTGTAAACTGCAGGCTAGTAGACAGCTCCTCTGTGGCGGCCGCTTGGCTGGCATGTGCCCTGGCGCTCTCTCAGGCCTGCTGGCACCTTTAAATCTCCCCCCTTTGCTCTGTTACAGGTAGAACTTGGCGCTCCAGGCTTCCCCCATCAGCTCCTAAGCTCCTTCATCAAACAGCAGCCACTGATTATAGCCAAACTGGCTTCCTTCCTCGGCAGTTAGCATCTCGCCATCGGAAGACACTGTGGACACGCAGACCCAGGGTGCTCCAGAGAGACGCTGGGTAGTTCCTCGCTACTTTCTGTCCCCTGTGCGGAAAGCGCCAGAGTGACCTGCAGTGGCGGCTGGGCAGAGAGCACTGAGCCCCGAGTGGCCAGCCAGCCCAGTCAGTACTCAGCCACGGCTGCCGCCATTGTAGAGCAAGGGGCTGAGCCATCCAGACTGAATGAAGCTCAACTCGCCTTTTTGATTTCTCACCTTTATTTTCTGTCCCTGGGACCCAGTGGCAGCAAGCTGGCCAGGATGGGGCGCAGCCTGCAGAGCTGGGAGTCAGCGGAGCTCTGGTACAGAGCTTCCTGCCCTGCGGCTGGTAGGAGGCGAGCAGCCCGCAGCAAGACTCTGCGTAGGATCTGCCTCTGGCATTCAGCTCCAGTGTGGGACAGAGTGTTAGAAAAGACGAGACAGACAGCAGTTAAAAAACAAAAACGGCTGCCCAGACTAGAACACTGATTCAGAATTATTTGCCCTTATTGATTAGTCACAAAATGCTTAATTACATTTGCTTCCCCCTTCCCTTCCCTCATGGGAGAGCTGTCAGTGGTGAGCAGCGGTTGCTGTGCCCTCAGGAGAGAGGGAGAAGCAGGGCGGAGGCTGCGTGTGCAGGCCTGGGGCCGGGCTGGGGTGAGGGGTCCTCGCTCCCTGAGGAGGACCCTGGCGGGCAGTCAGTGCTGGCTGTTGACGAGAGGGATGTCAGAAAGATGAAAAGTAGTCCTGTGGAGACGGGAGAGGAGATGATGGAGGTTAAGTGACTTGTCGGAAGACCTCACAGTCGTCCTCATCTCACTCAGCCTTAGCCCAAGCTCTTAAGTGGTCGCTTGAGAATTCCACAGTGCTGCTGTAGCCCCTTTTCTAGCACGGGGTGGAGAATGGATGTTTCCTTGTCTCTTAACCTGGCTGAACTTAAGCTTTGAATACTCTGTAACAGCTTCAGTTGTGCCTAGAATCTTAGATGGAAGAGGACAGCCACTCGGGGATGAAGATGTGGAAAAAAGGTAAAGTTCTGTATAGCACCACAGAAATTTATTTTTCTAGTGTTGGAGTGATTCCTGCCCCCCTTACCTCAGATTGTTATTTATATATTACTGATCAAAGGTTATTTTTAATTGCTTTTTAAAACTTTTTATTTTTCTGGTTATTTTTTTGTGTGTGACACCACATATTTAACACCCTATTTATGTACTCCCATCTCTTTATATAAAAATCTCTTACTATTGATTGAAAAATGTCAAGCTTCCAGAAATCCTGCGTGTACTTTTACTTAATGACAAAACCCCTGGGATAGCCCAAGTGTGTCATTTGAGCACAGTAGAACTTAGCCTAGACATTATGACGGCAATAATTGCAATCCAGTTTTTAGAGTTGGCACACTTACTGAATGCTTCCCATGAGCTTGGCATTGCTTTGCACCTACCTAACAGACTTCTACCCTCCAAAGTGGAGGGTAGATTCCCTCAACAGTCAGTGTACCCCTGTATGTACTTCGGCAGTGTCTCGAGGCCGTGGCGGTGTGCCCCAGGTTCCTAACTAGAGAAGCCACACACCGGCCTGTGAGTCAGCAATCTAGAGAATATTATATGAGGCCGATTCTATAGCAAAGCAGAAAGTGTTAATGATAATGTGGTGAATGAACACGATCAAGTCAGATTTTGGGCTTGGGTAAGTGGTTTTGGTTTTGTTGTACATCAGAATTACCCACAGGATTTGCTCCATTCTGGGCTGGGCCCCCCTCCAACTTTCTGATTCAGGAGGTCCACCTAGGGGCCCACACGTTTGTGATCCTGAGGCTGTTGGACTGGTGACCAGTTTGAAAATTAACTTGAGACAATTAGTAGAGCGCAAATATATAAAGTAACCTAGTTAGGTCGCTATCTCAATCATCGTCATTTTATGCCTCAAGTCAGCTTTTATGCTTCACGTAGGCCAGCAGCTTCTTGACCTGGGCGCCGCTAAGTTTAACTGAGCTTTAAACCAGGACTGGTTGAGGCTTAGCCCTTCTACTTGGCATCCTTGGGGCTTCAGGCTTTCACGCCACCTGCCTGTCCTATCTCAGGAGTGGCATTGAAGTATCTCAGCTTTCTGGGGCAATGCTTCCTTCGGCCACATCTAGTAGGTGCAGAAAGATAACTTTTGGTTCTCAGCATTCAGAACTTCCTGAAATTGTTATAGCATAAATTCCATTTAAAAGACAAAGATAAAATCACTTCAGATGCATTGGTGAGATGCAAAGTTGAAGGAGAAATGGGATGGGAAAGATACTATGTGACTGGGCGGAGCAATGGGGACTGAAACATTCCTATTTTTTACTTTCTGTGCTGATGGGCCTTAGTGGGAGTAACCAGCTTTCCTACTGTCAAGGCCCTGAGATCATATACCTTTTTCCATGGGTTGGTGACTGCTTTGACAGCTATGAATTTTTCCCCCAAGAAATGTGCACACAGGATTTTGCAAGACACTTAGGTAGGGTTCATGGAGTATCCTCTCCCCTGACAGTGCCAAATAGAAAACCCGTGAGTGTTACAAGAGTGAACTTAATGTAGACTATCAAGGTAATGCCTTCTCAGTCTGTGGATCATTGAGACACACACACAAAAATGCTTTTTTAGTTTTGGGCCAAAACAAACACCCAGGCCAGACAAAACAAGCACAGAGGGAGCTTCCCTGCTGGATTAGTGCATAGGATCTTGTGAGTAGAAATTTCAGACAATGCCCTAAACCCTGGTAAGGGAGTTGCACCGAGGTCAGCTCTACCTCAGCCCATCTGAGACCTTGCAGGCCTGTGCAGAAAGGTGGAAAAAAGTAGACATGAAGCCCCCAGTAAAGAAAGCAGTTTATTTTAAAGAGCTCTGTTTCTCCTGTGCACGACCCGTGAATGGTACTAGGTTGAGAGTTACTGGCTGAACAGGGGACACAGAGCAGCTCAGTTTCTGTCCGGTGAGCCCCACCTTGTCTGTGGTGCACTGTGAAGCAGATGGCAGTACAGCTTCTGGTAGTAGAAAATGGAAACTCCCAGGATTCATGTTTCAACTTTCCTCACACGCCTTACATGGTAAGCAGAAATCATTTGCCTCTGTCATGATTTCCTGAATAACAAAGTTTTAGGAAATGCTGAGATAGCAGCACATGGGGCTGGGAGCCCCCACACCTCCTTTCGTTTAGTATCCAAGCGATGCCGACTCTTCTGTTCCCGGACTGGAGTCTGTAGGTGCTTCCACCGCATCGGGCACACCCTCCTCCTTCCTCTAGGACTTGGGGGGGCGCGCCTGCAGCGAGCCACACATTCCCTTTGCACATGGGCAGGAAACCAGGTTGCAGACTCTGCTACTCCCGCGCTGATGAGGGTCAGCAGTGGGCACTTGGGTGGCTCTGGAGCTGCCTCCTGTGGCGGGGGCTCCAGGGTTCTGCTGAGACGCCCAAGGCAGGGCCACTCCCCAGTCTTAACTCTGGGCCAGCACTGTGCCCCGGTTTGGCTGCACCAGCTCACACGTTCTGAGCTGAGGTTCTGGCACATGAGGCTCAGCTAAAAACAGCTTGGACAGGGTTTCCAATTCTTTAGAGAAGTCCTGGAGTAAACAGAAAGGCCAGTGTCTGATGGCTCGTTGTTTCCACTAAAAACCCCAAAGATCAAGCCCTGGCTAAAGGTGAGCAGACCACCTGTTTTATTTTTCCCAGATGCCTTCTAGTCCAACGTAGACTTGAGCTTCCAGGAGCACGAACAGCACAAGGTCCAGCAAGGGAGGCCCAGCACCCCCTACTGAGTTACTGCTTATCTAATATAAAATCTAATGTTATTCCTAATTTGTGTAATGTTATTTCTCACATTCAATATGAAATAACATGTACATTAACATTGAATGCTTTGAGGTAAAATCCACGTTATTCTAAAAATCGCTCCCGCTGCTTTCTAGCACCTGCCCTCCCACTGACTTAAAGAACAGCCCCTGCTCCCTTTCAGGACGGTCCTGAAGACGCTTGGAAGATCCTAAGAATACCAGGCCCCACTTGAGGATAAAAGGGTCATATGTGGACTCCTTACCTCTGGCCACTGGGCCTCACGCAGGCTGCCGAGGCAGGCCTCTATCTCTGGCCGTCCCATCAGACCTTTCTCTACCAGCTCCCGGAGCAAGAACAGTAGCAGGTCCCACTGCAACACACGGGAGGAGGAGAGGGGCTGACACTCTGCAGTGGGCCTGATGGATTCGAAGGGCAGAGCTGGAGAGATTTCCTCAAGGGGGTCTTTTGGACACGGAAGTGAAAGCGATCACCACTACCAGAAACAGGGAAGCACGCTCCCAACATCTGGGGTGAGGGTGGTATGAGAACATGACTAGAGGGCTGAAAAGCCGCCTGTCCTAACTGCTCACCTCCCTCAGCCGAGTGTCTGCCAGAAGCCCCACGCTTCTCGGGCTCAGCAGCAGCCGCAGTGGGACAGGCACCTGGAAGTCATCCTTCCACAGGGTAAGCAACACATGCAGGAGCCTTCGTGCCTGCCCTCGCTCCAGCCGGTGCTGGGCTGGGGGCCCGAGCACTGGAATTTGGTCGGCCACTGTGGAAGAGGAAAACTAAGCTTTAAGGAGGCAGGGTCGCCCGGCCACCCCTGGGGGAGGAGCGCCGCAGAGGGCACCCTGTTCCAGTCTTGCTTGTACCCAACCCTGACATCCCAAGGAGCTGGCAGGAGAGATTTGATGGGAACCATACCAAGGAGGGATGCTAAATCCACAGAGCACTTTGCCAGATGCTGCTCAGCAGGCGGGCACAGGAACTGTGGGGAAAAGCAGGTAAACCTTGGACATTAACATGGCCCACAGCGCAGCAGCCCCAGGCCAGTGGCTCTGGTTCTCAGGATGAGGGGACACAGGCCACACTCACCTGGCGGCACTGCAGCATCTGGCCTAGCTGGCCTAGGAGCTGCTCCAGGTATTCGGAGGAAACTCCCTCCTCAGGATCCCGGGGCCCAGCGGCCAGAGCAAGCACATCCTGGAGAGAGAGCAGGAGCGAGTGAGACTTCATGCCAGGCTGGGGCTACGAAGCCACAGAGAATGCAGCTTGGGGTGGGACTCCACCAGTACAGGCAGAAGGAAGATGGCCCCGGGGGTGGTGGTGGAGTGAGTGGGCCAAGACAGCCTTACACTTGGGGCTCGAGCAGGACAGACAGCTGGAGAACCAACCCAATGGACAACAGGGAACAAAGGAACAGAAGCTGAGGGAAGGCTGCGGCTAGAGGGTTCTAGAGATGTCACGGAAAATGTGTTGGGATGGTCCTATCAACTCCCAGAGCACACTGAGTTCTGAAAGCACCTAGGGTGGCCATACATGTCCGGATATGTTCTATCCCTTACGCCCCTCTCTCAGGAGAGTCAACATTTCAGTACAGAAATCCACTACCGGTTGATGGATGCTTAGCCTTTTCTTCTACGCTCTCCCCCTTTCCATTTTTGGTCATCCCTTCTTAGTTCCTAGGCCAAACCTATACTCCCACACCACTCTCTAGACCATGGCCAGGCCAAACAGTTTGTCCCAACTACTCCATCTGCCCATTTTATGTTAGATTTGGCTCATGGCTGTTTGCTGAGCTCTGGTCTACAGTTTGAAATTTTTAAATCAAGTTAAAGAGCATTCATAGTATATTCTTAGCACTTCTAACTAAAGAGTCACTTCCTGTCTAGAGCACCCTGGGTGACCACTTGTCAAAGACCTCCCCGCTGCGCGAGACAGCCATCACTACCCAAACTCCTACTGCCATCTGCACCATTCAGTTGGTCAAAGTTTTCAAAGCCACCTTTTCCCACTCCTGGGTGACCAAAATACCCAAAATTGGAGAACAATTAGGAAACCATTCAATCCAGCTCTGCCCTACCTAATCCCTTCAGCATCAAACCAGGAACTAGCTGGACAGCACAGAAAGCTGCTATGCATGACTACTGGAGTCGACGTGAGAAAGGAAGGAGACCAAGAGAGCAGGGAGGAGGAGGGAAGCCGAGCGGGGATAGGGGAGCCGTGTACTTTGATCTCGGAGATGAGGTGGGAGGGGAGGGGAGCATGGTGCTCACAGGCACGGGAGCAGCCCCTCCGCTCCCCCTGGGCAGCCGGTTCAGGACCCTGGGCTCGAAGTGTTCGGGTCACCGCTGCTTTCACCTCTCTCCTGATCAGTGCTGCCGGTCAGAAGGAAAACAGAAAAGGTGTCACCACAGCACCCGTTTTGGCCCACTGTGCTAACCAGTACTCTGTTTCCAACTGACTCTGAGACCTTCACCCCAAAATAGCCTCTTCTATCCAGTCAACCACCCCCTTTCGTGTACACCTCACCTGTGATATTGGCTGACAACCAAGCACAGGCTTTTTCTGTTGCAAGCCCCACAGCAATGTTCTCTGCACTGCTTAGCACCTATGACACAGAAGCACTAGAATCAGCAGACTGGGGTGATACACTCTCCACCATCCAGGGCTGCCTCACCCCCAGTTAGCAGACGCACATGCGCGCACACAGGGCACCTCCCTGCCACCAACCACTCAGCCCCCCAGCCCTGGCTCCCTACGTACAGCTGCTGGGGTCTCTTCCGGAAGCAGGGCCCGCACAGCCCCAGGGCTCTTTCTTTGGCAGAACCTGAAGGGAGGACAGCAGGTTAGAGAGCTCAGCCTAGCCCAGGAGGAAATGCCCCAGAGCACCGAGCACCAGAGCCCAGAGCTCTGCCTCAGGGGAGAAGCACTGTCCGCCAGCTAGACCCGCCCCACATGCTGGAAAGGAGGAGATGGCCAACCACCAGCTTCCAGTTCAACTGTGGGACCCCAAATTCCATATAAGCCTATGGAAATGGGGAGAAATGAAAAATGTGGGGTGAGAAGAGGACAAGTAAATGAATGTGGAAAAGGGTCATAAAAATAAGATCTAAAAGGAAAAGGCAGATGAGAGGGGGTCTCTTACTCTCGCCCTTGGGTGAGTGCCTGGGCCCCATGGGGGCAGAGCTGGGAACACAGGATCTCCAACAGCTGGGCCGGATCTCTCCCATTTTTTCCCTCCGTCACCAGTTCTTGAAGAAGTGACTCTGCCTGGCACACCAGGTCCGCCACCAACGTGGCCCTGTAGCAGGAACAGCAAAGTTGAGAGGTGTTTAAAAATGTGGAGTCAGAAAGGGGCTACCGATAGAAGGAAGTCAGCTCAGGACTTCCTTCAGAGAATGTTAGCAATTTTAGCACCTGACTAAGTTGATGCTTAGTCTCTCTCACAGTTGACTCCTCAGTTTGGCAAAATATCAAAAGGGGAACAATGGTAAGGAATGACACTTGGGACCCCAATACCTCCACTGCCAACCCTCTCAACCCACACTCACTTGATGTGTTTGACACAGTTAGAACCAATTCGCTCTGCCACAAACTCCACAGTCCTACGCAGGGAGGGCGGCTGGTTGTGGAAAAAGGCTTGGGCCAGCTGCGCCTGGAGGAGGGAGCAATGACGAGATCTCATTTTTGACCCACTGGGCCACCCTGCCCCTGCCTTCACCCTGCCCCTTACCTGTAGCCCCTGGGTAGTCCGGGGAGGCTGGGTTCCCAGTCCAGTTGTGGTGGTGGGGGTAATTTTCCTCACAAAGCCCCCACTCCGTCCACTGCTGCCCGAGACCCACGAAGCCAGCAGTTTCCGAAGCTCTCCTGCAGCAGGGAAGCGCAAGTGCTTAATCCCAGAGCCATCCCCACCCGCCCAAGAGGAACAGGCTCCTGGGGAGCACCTAAAAACAATGTATTAGGGCGTCAGGCCCAACAGGTGCCTTCTGGGGACTCAGGAGTAACAGGCCAAGGTCACAGGACCCTGCAGGGGAGATGAGTGTCCTCACCTATATAGGGGCAGCAGGTGTAGAGCAGGTGCTGGTCCACCACTGGCATGCTGTCCTGGGGGCGAGAAGAGGCCAGAGCTGGGAGGCAGCAGGTTTCCCATCCTCCCCAGTGCGCCCAGAAATGGGAGGTTTCCGTCTCTAGCCTGGCCTGTCTCTTGCTGAGCCTCTCAGACAGCGCCCCCACCCCGCCCCATTCCTCTCCCCTCACATTTCCATGGCTCTGGCTGGACCCCAACACTTACCAAACCATGCTTGGAGGTTACTGTGTCTACTTCAAAGGCATCCAACTGACCCTCTTCCAGAAAAAACAAGTGTTCCGGGACTGTTGGAATCTGGCGAGTGATAGGGCAACACAACCTCCAGTTGGCACTTCCAAGACACCGTGTCCCCCACCCCTCCTGGCCTAGGCCCCAGGACTTAGGCACCAAGTTCAAAGCAACCTTTCCCTCCAACCACGTGACTCCCATTTCTTCTGAACCTTCAACTGGCCCTTCTGAGACTGTGCCCTTCTCCCCATCTCCAGCCACAGTAAGCCATGTCTTTCCCAACATGGACCCTCCGTCCGCCAACCTGGAAAAGCCAGCCCAGGACAGCAAGCAGCAGCAGCTTGTTCAGGAAACACATTTCCCCTTCACTCTCCTTGGATAACACCAAGCTCCTGTAAGTAAACGGCGGGTGTGACCTGAATTAGTGCCGAGAAAGAAGTGGAGCCAAGTGAAAGAAAGCCCTCTCTGGGAAGGCAGTCCTCAAAAACAGACCTAAGAGGGACTGCTAGGCCACAACAGGAACAGAAAAGGGCCAGTGAAAGCTCTCTCTGCGGCCCCGGGCCTGCGCTCCTGGGTGGTTCTAGCGACAGCCCCACAGCCCCGTTCTCTACTCACCGATGTAGGTGCAGCAGGAGCGTGAAGACACTGCGGTAATACTCCATCAGGGGGACAATGTGGTCAGCGAGGGAGAGGAACTCCACCAGCCAGGGCACCGTGAGGACTGCCCGGCGGGCCCGCAGCCCCTGTTGCAGCAGAGCCCGCACGTCCAGCACAGGGGGCATCTGGCGGGGACATGCGGCGGTGGGCAAGGGCCCGGGGCAGTGGGATGCCCGCTGGCAGTGGTGTGGCCGGACACTCCTCCCTGCTCCCTCCTTACCAGAGCCCCCATTCACCTGGCTCCTCAGGGCCAGAATGGAGTCCTGGAGCTCCCGAGTTGGGGGTGGTTCAGGGCCCCTGTATGGCAGGAAAGCCACAAAGCCCAGGAATTTAGCTAGAAGCCTCAGGCTGAGCAGCACCACAGCAAATTGCCTCCGTTCACCCTGGAGGGGGTCAAGGGAAGGAAAAGGTTCTGAGAACAACTCTAATCTGCTACCGAGTTATTCCGGAGAGTCCCCTCTCCCCTGCTGGGCCAGAACGCAGCAGCTCCCTTGTTCTGCTTCTGACCTGCCAGTCCACATCTGACTCCCCATCTTCATCACTGGGTTCAGGCTGAGGCAGGGTGAGATTGTTGAGCTCCCGGATCTTCAAACTCAGACTGTCCATGAGATGCTGATTAAACTGAAAGCTAAAATGGGAAGAAAGCGGGGTCAGGGGTGGGTGGGGGTGGGTGAAGGCACTGGAAGAGGTGCTCCAAACAGAAGGCTTAGCGGGGTAAAGGGCAGGCCTAGGGATAATGAGGTTACCTATGCGGACGAAAGAATGAGAGGAGGAATGGAGGCAGAGAAATATGAGCTGGACAGAGCCCAGAGATCACCTAGGACCACCCTGACCCATTCCAGGGAGAGAGAACTGTTTGCCTTTCAGGGAGACAAACCTCTCGTGGCCTCTGCACTGCTCCCTCTAAGACACAGGGGACTTTTACCTGCTGGCACTCAGGATGAAGTCCCTGAAGAAGCCCTGACAACCTGGGAAGGTGGGGGGTGGGCAGGGTCCTCCACTGCTCTGAGGAGCTGCTAGTCGTTCCTGGAGGCGTCGCAACCGCCCTAGCTTGTCAGCTCCAAGCATGCTTAGCACATCTGGGGCCTCACCCAAGACAGTGCCCCCAGCACTACCAGGACGCTGACACATCTGGGGCAGAGGGAAAAGGAAGATATAAAAATCAGAACAGGTCCTCCCTGGTGATGAAATGGGTTAAAGCCTAACACTATGAAGCTATCACCCACCACTGCAACATGAGTTTGATTTCCAGCCAGGGATGTGAACCACATGGCGTAGCAGACCTCTCCAGTCTCGCCCACTGCTCCCTCACTCGATTTACCTGTGCTGCTCCCCATTCTGTCTCTCGTAAATCCTCTCACCCCCTGCATCTGTGGCCTGTACTCCTGTACCCCAGTTCTTATATGCACAAATAAATCTTAAAAAAAAACAAACAAAACCCACTTTTTCTGTAAAGGACTGCACAAAATAGAAGGCAGTAACAAACATTACTTTATGGAATACCACCATGTGTCAGGTAGCTTAGATACACTTTCTGGAGATAGGGGTTATATTCTTGTTTTACAAGTGAAGAAATGGAAACTGTATAGTTAAATATTTGTCCATGGTTGGTCCCTAGAGCTGGGTTTTAAAACTGGGTCCCAACCTTTAGCTAATGTTCTTTCTAGCACAGCATAAATCAAGGGCAAGGAGTATAACGAGAGGCTGAGAGAGGCATGGAATGCAGGGCCTGGAGAGCACTCTGGCTCGTCTCTGGCCCCTGAGTTTCAAACACCACAAGAAGTAGCACTCTTATTACCTGGAGAAGTTGTTTTTGGAAAAGTCGAACAAAATGGCTGTGGCTGCAGGCTGCAGAGAGCTGGCCCATCATGGCTCTAAGGAGCAGAGGCCGAAATGGAATGTGAGGGAAGGGGGACAAAGATCTGAGAACAAGCCAATCTTTGGGCTTTCTGGCCCTTTACTAGGGACCTGCATGGACTCTACCAGAGCTACTGGCACAGGATATGGGAAAAAGGTCACTTTCCTCAGCACCAAGATTCCTAGAGACTACAGATACACTTAAACAAACCAAAAAATATCACCCCTCAAGTCTTCAGTCTACACGTAGTACCAGCGTGCTTCATGACCAACATGGAAGGTAGATCACTAGACAGGATATTTCTGCATTCTGCATTCATAGTTATCTAGCTATGCAAAAATAGTCAGAATCACCTAAGCTATGTGATGGAAGAACAGGTTGAAAGGTCTAAGCAATAACGTGGGTCAATATACAGGCAACCTGGGTTAAGAGCTTTGCATTTTCCCAGCATTTGCCACCAAGGAATAAGCCTGAGTCATTTCTGAGTGGACAGGCAAAACTGGCAATAACTGAAAAGATCAAGTGGACAGAAAGATGACCACACTGTGCTGGGAGGGCGAGGGGAGACAGCCCCACTAGGATGCTCACTGCTTAAAGCAAGAGTGTGAGGTTTCTAGTGTAGGAGCACCCACCTGATCCTGCTGCCCAGGCCCTTCTCAAAATCCCAGCCAGGCTCCTCGTGGCGATCTTCCCACTCTCGCAGAACCTCATAAAACACATCCCTAACACAAACACAAGAACGTCTGATCACCTGAGGGGCAACTGCCTCTCACTCACCCCAGGAGCACCTTCCCCAGTGCAGAAGAACTATCACAGGACTGTCTACTCCTCATGTGCTCCAAGTTCTCTTTTGATGGTGATGCTACCACCCCACAGCAGTGTGCCCGTGTTGCACAGATGTGCTGCTGAGAGCAGCAAAAGCTGGCTCTCCCTTATCCGAGAACCCTGTGAGTAAAATCCATACACCTGTGAGCAGGCAGCGAAGGCCAGGGTTTTATGCAACAGAATGAGTGCCCTTTGGTGGTTGGCAGGAAGAGCCTGTTGGTGCAAACTCCTATTCTCTCGGAAAACACTGAGGCTGCCTGTCTCAGAGAAAATCCAGGCTTATCCCCTCCCAAAAGTTCTCTTTTCTTGTCACCTCTGTTTTTTGAAAGTATGAAAGGCTCGGTCACTGGAAAAGTTGGCACGATTGTCAGTTTCAGGTTGAAAGGAGACAGCTTGGGCAGAAGGTGGCATCTCCAGAGAAACCTAAAATACGGCAGTGATGTGAGGAGGGGCTGAAGCTCACAGAGGTCCATGTTCAGAAATCTCCATTTCCATGTTCCTGCCCAGAAGAAGCCCCTGTGGCACCAGAGCAGTGGGGCTGGGAAGGGTCAGGTCTAGGAGAGGAGGGAGTCATTACCTTGGCAACACTGCCCTCATAGGCAGCTCGAAGGCGGCCTTGAAGAGCTGGTGAGAAGCACAGCAGTCGCTCATTCTCAGCCAAGAGCTTCAAGGTCCCTTTGTCCAGACAGGAGAGAACTCTACGGGACAAGCGCACACATCACTGAGAACGGGAGTCTGTGGGTAGGGAACTGTGGCCTGCACGCACTCTCTGGAGCATGGAGCAGGCATGTATGACAAAGCCACAGGAACAGAAGCGAGGATGATGGAGAAAAGGGAGAGGAAATGTGACTCTATGAAGCAGGAAACAAAAGTGCAGGACAGTAACATCAGATGTAAACCCAGAGGTCATGCCAAGATGGAAGGGAGTGATTTGACTCTTTTAGGGGCCAAATTTATAGGTCACAAAATTAAAGATTACAGGTAGGGAAAAGTTTAAGCTCACAGAACTTATATTAAGCACACCCATTACCCCAGTGGCTAGAGAACCAAGTGGACAACAGAACTAAGGCTCAAATGCCTCAGCTGGGGAAACTCACTGAAACTGATGCTCCAAAACCTGGACTGCAAAGAAAACACAATCATGGACATTCTGGAACAGTGGGCTTTCCAGGCAATCTAAAAGGATAGTAGCAAGCCGTCAGTTAAGAAGTGTTTCATCTCCAGATCCCAGTTCTCAAAAAGGGGCATGCTCAACAACCTAGGGCTCCTGGACTTGGCTCAAGGTCGCGATCCTTGGTGGCCACCATCCTCCGGGCAGTAAGGAGTTGAAGGACAAAGAAAAGCTCCAAGAAGAGATTTGGTACCAGGTTCTCTGGAGAGGGAGACACCCCCAGATACTGATCACCACTGAGAACCAAGGCTCAGTTCTACAAGCCTTGCTCATTCTCTTGGCCTATATAGTTCTACAAGTATCTTCACTTTAACATTCTTTCCTCTCACCTGCAATGCATGAAGAATAGACAAGGGCTACCAGCTGCAAGCGCTGGTGGGAAGACACTCTGGCAGGGTCAGCAGGTTCAGCTGTCATGTTCCCAAGGCGGCTGGGCAGGGGAGATCCCGACTCTGGGGTGGAACAGGCAGGGACTGGTGACGACTGCTGCTGTTGCTGCTGCTGTTGCTGCTGCTGCCTAGATCTATGGGAACAGAGAGATGTCATGGGCACTCAGCAAGGCTTCCTCTCCAGAGCCATGCTCAGGTCCTCCATAGATGACAGCTCAAGAATAGTTCCCCAAGTGGGTTTGGGGTGGGGGGAGCCCTGCAGACCCCCCACAGGTGGGGGGAAACTGACACCCCTGGGAGCGGCAAGGCCATACCGCTCCTTCTTGAGCATCTCGCGCTCCTCTTGCAGACTTCTGCACCCTGAGGTAAGGCCATGGCCCCAAGGGCTAGTGTCCAGGACTGAGGGTTGGGAACTGGGGACACAGTTGATTGGGGGTGAGGTGAAGCAGGTCTTGGGCTTGGAAAGTGACCGCTCTTCGCTCACCGGAGTTGGGTTGATCCTGCGTGAAGGCTTCGTCCTGCTGAGAGCAGCCACAGGTTTTTCTTTAATTAGTGATTTCAAATATCTCCCACAGCTGGGTCCCTTGGGAAAGCCTCTTGCCCCTAGTTATCTCACCCCCAACCTTCCAGTCATCTCCCCAGCTCTCCTGCGGGGTGCCCTGCCCTCACTGAGCGAGCCTTGAGCCTTCGTGCCACCCATCTCCGGGATGAAGGCTGATTCTCACCCTGCAGGGCCGGGGGAAACCGAGCCTACGGGAGGGAACTCCTCCAGGTTGCTGAGGTTTGGCGGATCAGAACGTGCGAGGTTGGGGCTCCCGGGGCTGCCAGAGCCCCTAGGTCTCCGGCCCCCGACCCAGGGCAGGCTCTCCCCGCCGACTCCCTCCTCCTGGCCCCCGGGTCCCTCCTCCCAGGCCCGCCGGGGTCCCTCCTCCTGGCCCCCGGGTCCCTCCTCCCAGGCCCGCCGGGGTCCCTCCTCCTGGCCCCCGGGGCCGCGGCCTCCACGCTCGCGGGCCGGCCCTGGACCCCGCCTTCGGCCCCCGCGGCGGGCCAACGGGGCCTCGGCGGCGCTTGGAGGCTCGGTCGGAGGAAAGAGCTGGCTGCGCGCCCCGCGGCCGCCCCGCGGCGGGCCCCCCGGCCTCCCTGACAAGGCTGCCGAGGAGCCCGGGGCCTTGGCGGGGGTTGGGGGGCCCTGCGGGAGGACGCGGCTGCTCTGTTCCCTCAGGAAGTTCAGCAGGAACGGCACGAATTCCTTCCGCAGAGGCTGGAGTGAGCACAGCGGGGCCGTCTCCCCGGGGTCCTCCTGCGGGAGAAGCGGCGAGGGGCGGAGGGTCAGCTGCCAGTCGGGGCCAAGCAGGGGCGGCCAGCAGCCCTAGCTGGAGCGCATTCGGCCGGACTGGCAGCCAGGCACCTGGAGGTAGGGCACCGAAGCAAATTCGGGTCGGGCCCGGGGGCGTGTCGGCGCTGTTACCTCGGAACTCTGGGCGCCGCGCGCGATCCACCGCACCGCGGCTGCGACCGACACCTCTTCTCGCAGCAGCGACTCCAAAACGGCCGCCATCCCGGTTGGGGCGCTCGGAGGCAATTGCGCAGGCGCAGGCGCGCCACAGGCGGGCTGGGCTGGGGCGGGGCCGGCGCGGAGGAGCGACCGTTGGGTTACGGTGCGGGAGGCGGGGTCGGAGGCGGGGCCAGCGCGGGGCTTTCCCTGTCACGGCCGGGACGTGCGTGCGCGGGGTGCGACAGGAGGTCGGTGGTCAGTAAAGTGCCCCGCCGCCCTCGGAGAGGTCCTGCTCCGTAGCGCCTGGCCCGCGGGCGACCAGCTGGGACGCGGAGACGGGGTGGGGCGCGGCTGGGCGGTGAAGGTGAAGAACTTCGCGTAGTGAGACGACCGCCCACCTCTCGGCGGCCTTTTCTCGCTCTAGTTTGCTAGATTCAGCCGTCACCACCTAAAAGAAGTTACCATAGAACTCGCCTAACCTCGGTTTCACCTTGCCTTTCTCAAAGGCTGAAAGTCCCTGACTCACGCTGACCTTCGGGTTTTTGGCACTTGCCATCAACTGCTTGACCTTTTAAGATTTCAAGACAATTCTTGCGGGGAGGGTTACATAACCCTAGCCCACCATCCTTGAAGTGCTTCTGGCCATCTTGTACACTAACTTGCTGGTCTGTTATTTTTACCTCCTTTACCCGTGCAACGAAGGGTTTACACCAGGTTAAGATATAAACCTCTTGGCAGTTGAAATGTTAATGGGCACATTCATGATTGGCTTCTGGGAGACTTTTTTAAAAGCTGTTTTGAAATCCACCAGACTGGTCTCTTGGTGTTGCTGCTCAGTGAGAAATCAACAAAGGGAAACCTGATGGAGAAAAACAGGACACTGACACTCCAGACCAAAGCAAATAAGGAGGGGTGAAAGGGGTCCACTGGAATACTGCCTAAGGAAGGTTGCGAAGGAAAGCAGAGGTTGAGGGGTGGGGAGCAGGGATCACTCCAGGGCTACAAGGGATGTCTCCTGCAAGGGAAAAATTACCTCCAATCAGACAGATCGAAGGGAGCTTGTAACACAGGGCAACCATCTCATCCCTGAACCTTGTTTTCTATCTGCAGGGAAGTTGAACTCTTAGTTTCTATTCAGTCCACTGCTTCCTTTTTGGTCACTTAGGACTAGGTTATTGCATTTATAGTTTAAGCCTTGTGTTCTCTGCTGATCATGTCACTTTTGGTGCATTCAATCACTTTTCACACATTAGAAAGATATTTCCCGCTCTTGAAATCCAAACCACCACACAAATAGAACTAGAGTGTGCATGCGGAATGAATATTTTATTACTAGATTATAAAAATAAAATACAAAATAATTTTAAAACAGAACTTAAAACACTGTACAAAGCTTTAATATGATACAAATGAAAAATTAAATTAATAATTACACTTTTATATACAGATGGCCTATACAAAAGCACTCCATGTTTCTGCCAATACTCTACATGTCCTTGGTTGCCTGAGAAAAATGCATGGGGGGTTGGGGGGAGCTGTTCCGAGGAGAAAGGGACATAATATACCTTGGGAGGTATTTAAAAGAGCAATTTGTCCTCAGTGATTTCATGAAGAAAATGGAGAGAAATGTGGAATTATTATTAAAGTGCAACTGGTCTTGTTCAATAAGATTTATTCTTCGTTTAGTTCAATCTCATTTAACAACTGCCAGTGGTTCATAACTTTCAAGATTTACTTAATTCAAAATTAACATCCTCTCCTTTTTTTCCTAACAGCTATGAACTTGTAAGTAAATGACTCAATGAAATTTTGTGTGGTTTCAAAATTTTTTTTTGGCTCAATGAAATCTGAACTGACTCGTCTAAAAAAGAAGTCGGAAGGACTAGGAACTGAGAGTGATGGAGAAGGGGATGCAAGCCTGGGTCATCTAACCTAGTTTGTCTTTCTTATTCAGCTTACCCAATCCAATTTCAGAACCCAAAGGGCATAATGTTATCTTCCCTGTATAATCCTATCTTTGTGAACTAATTCAGTGGATACTTTCAAAAGAAAATCATCTTTTGAAAATCATACTTTCAAAAGAAAAGTTCCAAGGGCTTTCCCCCTCCCTGGGTAACTCCCTATAATAAATCCATTCAAGTTCTGGTAGCCTTGTTTACCCCCCGGTGAGTGAATGAAGACTACCCAGACTGACTTCAGGTATGGTGAAGTGTTGCACATAATTTTTAAGGATTTAAACTGTATAAGGAGGAAAAAGCAGCATCTTACAAGCAAGGGTCTTCTTGGTCTTCTCAAGATTTTTAACTGGGTAAGGAAATACATACTATACAATAGGAAACTATTAAAGTACTGGAAAGAGAGGTAAAGTTCCTATCCATTTAATAGTATTCCTATTCTTTAGTGTGCAGAATTAGGTCACCAGAAAATTCTATAGTAACATTGAATCCTACTATCTAGGTTAAGGAACCTAGAATCCCTGGGCTATGGTGTCTGAGAGACAAGTTAGACTCACCAATGATACAGACTATTGCTCATATTGTCACTTTCAATTTAAAAGGCAGACCCTGTTAAAGTTTCAGAGCCACAAAGGAAAAGACTTCCCTTCTTTCCAGCAAATTCTAAGGAAATGTTCAAATCATTCTTGTATAAATGTTACCTACTTTGTTACGTAAGTGTTGTAAGATTATATATAACCTCAAGGTGATTTTGACCTTGTCAAACATCTGATTAAAATTTGTTCAAGTGGAATAAAAGCAGATAAATCATAAAAGCAGATAAATCATAACTGAAGCAGATAATCATAACTGAGTTTGAAAATGTTTTGATGAGCCAAGACTTTACTGTCATTGTTCCATAGCCAGTCAGTGTTTCTCAGAATTTGTGGTGTGCATCATCCAAATTCACTTCTAAATGAATAGGTATCATTGTCCCAGGTCCTAAGAACATAAGATTTCCCCATATAACTTCTATTGTTCTCCTTAGCAATGCTGGCAACAGATTCTGCAGATTGCAGAGATTAGCTGGGTTAAGTTTTGCATGATTCCAGGGACAACCAAAATATTGAAAATATCCAGTGATATTTCCACACTTCTCCCACATCCTTGTGGTACACACCAGAGTTTTATTGGATGACGACGGGGAAGTAAAATGTCCTAAACAATCACCTGGGGTTTTCTATGTACTATATCCTCCCATTTTGTCCGAGAACTGGAACTAACTCCTGTTCCCTTCCCTAAAGCAAGGTCTAAATACCCATCTGTGGCTTCTGAACTTGGGTAAACAATGATATTTGAGGACTACCACAGTGATATAGTGGTTACATGCCTTAATCCTACAGTACTTTTTGCATTAAAACATAGATAAGTATTCTGCAAATAAACTGTCTACAGACCCAAACTTAAGAAAATTACACATACAGTTGTTGTCAATCACAATCTTCTTAATGATACAGATGCTAAAATATCTCTCCCTGTAGGCAAAGTTCTAACACATCTGTGGTAAATGCACATTAAAAGAATGAATGCAAATAACTTAATTCCAATATACATGAACATGACAGGAGAAATGGTTCCCTAACATGTCATGTTTGATAAATATAAAGGAATGAAAAGTTTTTAAATTGTGAAAAATTTGATCTCCAAGACTAAAGATAGACTTATCTACAAGTAAATATATTTTCAAATAGCCACAGTAAGATGCATTTTTCCCTAAGCCACTAAATTCTGAATTCTAGATCCTGTTTCTCCTGTCATCAATTCCTAATGTTAGACTTAGGATTTAGAACAAAAAATCATCCTTTGGGAAAAGCATCTTTTTAATTCAAAGCTATTGGGTATAGAAAAACTAATTATAGTTTTAACTATCTGTGTCTGGGTTTATAAAACATGCACCAATGTATACTTTTTCCTGGTAGATTGAATGCAACCATAGAAACATTCACATAAAAATCTGTGACCTGGAAAGAATCTCTGATGATTACTGAGGAACCTCAAGTTCCCACAGTGGCTAGGAGCTGGGCAGAGATACTGCACAGCTAGTCCACTGAATTAGTAAGCAACTGAGATTTGTTTAGTACCTTAAATCAAAGAATATAAAGTAGATAATGACAACAGTGGGTCTCAATTACCATCTTGCTACTTATTTAGGACTTAATTAACTTGGCAACTTTTACAAAAGACATTCACTTCACAACATGCAACTTAAAAACAATAAATGTAACTAGGCCACTGTCAGCAAGGCCAGCTTGCATACCAAGTTAAGAATGAGAGTGCCTGCCTAAGACTGGTCATTCAAAGATGTTTATAATCCATGCTTTATGGTCAAATTTGATATGACCCAGTTCTTCTTTGTTCATTATATATTAAAGTTAAATACCTTTAAGTTGTACAAAAGATTACTATGTAGAATTTAGTATTTCGACCAATCTGTACACCTTGGAGATTTGGCAGCATACTTCAGGAAGAGTACTAATTGATGGGCCTGAGCTAAAACTAATTCTATCTTCACCCAAGTAATTACAGAGACTAGAGAAGGGAAAGCAAGGGCAAGTGTGACTAGGTAACCAGTCAGTTTGCATCATGACACGAGAAACCAGTAGGCCCCTAATTTCAAAAGGTAATTTTCATTTCTGGCCCAGAGTACTCTTGGTATAGTTTGGCTTGACTTTAATCATGTTCCTATCTTAGGTAGAATAACCAAACTGGTTTAAAATTACTTGGATAATCTATATTTGTCACTGAAATCTGAAATATGCTATCACTAAGAAAAAACCCACAAAAATAAATATTAAAGAACTAAAAATAACAATCCATTTGTTCTCTATATCATACTCTAAAATAAAACAAAAAATAAAAGTTCTTGTGCCAAAAGTGCCTTGTTCAGGGCTGCCAACTCTTTGAGTCTGAGTGAATCTGAAAGCATAGACTATGCTTTGAAAACCATAAAATAAATATAGAAGACAGTACTTTTAAGTGGACTTATTGATATGTAAACTATAATTAGCCTGTTCTCTTTTGAAAGTATCAGAGAAGAAACATCTTTGGTTCACTCCTCTACATGCAAAATAAAATATTCAGACACAAGGTGTTTGTTTCTCTCTGGATTTTGATGCATTTTTAAATAAAATATTTACAAAAGGTAACAACAGTGTAAAAATTGGGGGTTATAGACAGAAGGAACTAAGAAAGAAAACACTCAACTGCCATGTTGCCTTCACTATCAGTATAGACCGCTGGGAGAGAAATGCCAATAAACTCACACACTCATAACCACAATTGCAGCCCCATCAGTTTTTCCAATGGTTACTATCAGGGCAATTCTGACCAGAGGCCAGTGGCCAGGACTAAAGCTAGCTACTTTATAAAGCACAATTTAGCGATTACAACATAAAAAATGATGACTTCCTAATTGGACACTCTTCCTTCCCCAAGTGAAAGAGGAAAGTAGAACAGTAATTTTAAGGGATTTTAAAAAAAGTCAATTTATGTCAGACCCATGATTATCATTCCAGTTTACCCTCTCTAACCATAAGAAAAGAATTATGTGATTAACATGACAAATCTTTGCACCAGCATTATAAGCATGTCCTAGTAACTTTTTTCCCTTATTAAAATATATTTTAAAATAAAGTTAAATAATCTATCTTGGCTAGTTAAAGACTGCCAACCCTTGCATTATACACAGGGAAGGCAAGAAGAATCTGAGGTGTCACATGCCAAGAACATATTTTCAGAAAATGAAGATAGGCATGGCCCAAGTGTACACTAGGCACACAATATAAAGGAATTTCACCATCTGTGATCTTGAATTACAAATGGAGTATGAGAAAGAATGAATTTATATAAGCATATGTTTCTCTATATATATTTATAAATATTTATATAGCTTACCATGAAGACATGCAAATAAGTGTTATAGCAACTATTATACAGTATAATACAATAGGATTGGTCTTCCAATATTATAGGTGCTTTAGTTAAACAGCAAATATGTCTTATCTATTGCATTCCTCTGTAGTGCTTCAAATGGGAAAGAAATTAAGATTCCACATTATGCTACATTTCTTATGGGAGACCATATATGCCTCAATAGTGTTTTGAGTTTTGTTTTTTTCTTAAAAAAAGCTCAACACGGATAAAGAGAACAAGAAAGTTCAGTGCAGCTTCAGGGCAGCTTTGATGCAGCATTAGAAAATGTTCACTTGATAAGGAAACAGATTTCTTTCCTTTTTTTTTTCTTTTTCCCAATTCAACCATATTAGGTTTGGCAGCAAACACAAGGTCAAAGAGAAAGCACAGATGTTTGCTAGAAGGCAAATTTCAACAAGCAGACCAATTTACTTGACCTTAATAAGGTAGATTTTTACAACATAGAACACCTACAGAGTATAAAAGAATCATTTTGAAAGTCTAATATAATTTAATTTTTCTGGTTCCTGTTAGCAGGAGTGAGATTTAGAACAATATGAATCTCCTTATAGCTTTATAAATTGATAGTACATGGAAATCAAGTCAAGAAGCCCAAATATTCAAACTAAAGCACAGAAGCAGGTAATAAAACGTTAAAAAGATAAATATTAAGCCTAGATTTATTTCCCCAGATACTCATCTCTTATTGGCTAATTGTATGAAATACAAAGTTTGAGGATTATATACTTCAACAACATATCTACTTTCTTTTTGCTTTTCTTTCTAAGTCTCTAAAACATAAAGTCATATTCCATTGTACTTCCCTGGTATCATCTGAGAGGTTAAGGATAGCAATAGTTGGTACTCAGAGACTGAAGGAAGCAAGGTCTACTCTGGTCGGTTCTCCTCCCACAGGGGAGAAGAAAGTTATTTTCTCATGAAGGGGATTTTACCCCACTCTCTGCCCCACTCTCTAATAAAGCGTGCCAGGAACCTCCATTTAGATGTTCCCTTCCTTAAGTTTTATCAATTATTTTTCACATACACAAAAATATACTGAGTTAAGAACTGTTTCTCCAAAGAAAAATATTAGGGACTGAATAAGAGTTACTGGACTTAAAATTCTTAGCATTTGCTGCTAAATGCATACTATAATGTATTGTTAAAATAAGAGATCAGATTGGGTGAGAAACATTATCTTTAAAAAATGTGAAATAGGAATGAGGCAAAGTAAAGGCGTGAAATCTCAACACACCAGATAAAGACATAAGTGAAATATGAATGAGCATTGGCTTCCCAGCAACAGACTTCTCAGAAACTCTAATAATGGAGCAGTTCTGACTCCTCCAAGGTTGGGAAGTTTTGAATGAAAATCTTAAAACAAGAAGTTTAACTTTTGATATTATATAATCTTTGAGTAGAGCCTTTAAAAAGTAGGCCAAGTCCTTAAAATTCCATTCTACCTCCTACCTTCACCACTTTTGTTTCAAAGACAGCTAAACAATGAGAGTTCATTTAATGAGTTTCTTCCCTTTGGATTTTGCTGGGTTGCCCCTTCCTTTGCAAAGGATTGATTCCTGATCTGCTTGCTGCCTGCCTTAGAATTCTTTATCATATATTTATGTCTTCTTAAATAATTTATCATGTTACTTTCTTTTGCAAGAGAAAATCAACACTGATTTTTTTTTTTAAATAGACAGTACAGGGACACACATGTATCAGGTTTAGGAGGAAGATCTCACACCTTTCACAGAGATGCAGCCCGGCTCCTATCTGCTGAGTTTACTGGCTGACTTACTCTTCCCTGGGGGGGCTTTAGTGCTGGCCGAGTGATGGTGGAGGCTGCTGGATCCTTTTAGGCCATTCTTGCTGGGCTTGCAATGCTCCTGTTGGCAGGACCTCCTTGAGGAGGAAGATCCTGAGTGACTGGGAGGTGACTTGCTTCTCCCCAGATGAGGGGATGAACTCCTCTGGTCATGGTGGGGCCTTCCAGCCCTAGATGGAGAAGAACTAGATGTGCGAGGCAAGGAAGAGCTTCGAGGAGAGGCACTGGGACTTCTGCGAGGGACAACGGGACTCTTGGGTGGTGTTTTAGGATTGTGAGGGGATCCTGGACTCTTGCACTGAGTAGTGCTCCGGGGTTTCTGAGATCCATTTTGAAGAATTTGGGCCAGGCGGGAAAAAAGGTCTGAGTCGGAATTGCTGCTCCCTAGGACTCGGTATCTGCGGAGCCTTAAAAGAACAGAGAATGATTTTCATTTTAATTCATTAAAGCTTCCTTGTGCCGAGTCAAAATCAGGAGACACTTATAAGAGTTATTCTTTCACATACCAGCTGTAAGACCTGGACCAACTCAACCTCTCATAGCTTTTAATAAGACTGTTTCAGAGTTAGTAGGCAGTGTAACAACACAAGTATAACAACACAAGATATTTAGTTGAATATCTACAATTCAGAAGCACTAAAATGTTAGTTCCCTTCTTCCTATGGCATATTTGCACTTCTACATTAGAGCTAACTTAATGACTTGTTTCTAGTATGTTAGCAGATGAGAAAGAGGAAACAATTTTGTATAAGGCTACTAAGACAGGAATTCTGTGTGTGTGTGTATACACACATGTATATACATATGTGTTTATATATATACATGTGTATATACATACATATACATATGCAAACATTAAACCTCATTGTTTAAGTCTTCAACATGGACTTACAATAGCAGGAACTACAGATAAAACTGTATTCAACCTCACTAATTTACAAAAGAGTCATCACTGGTTTCTCTGGCCTTGTTTCTGCCCCTGACAAAAGTCTGAGATTCAGAACAATTGGGTTTGGGCACTGACTATCCCTATTACAGGCAGCTGAGCTGGGTCTTAGAATTCTAAATCTAAAGAATATTCAAATGAATAGCAATGTCTTCTTTGCCCTAATATGTTTCTGGCTCATTCAGTTTAACAATATAAACCTCAATCTTCTGACATGCCACTCCTTATAGTAGGAAGTGGGAGGAAACTCCCAAAGTTGTATTAGCACGTGTAGGACGTAGGGACATAAATAGCCATCATCACCATCAAGGGTCAGCAACAAATTACTGATTTTTTTCTCTGAATTTTCCCTCTTTCTCTTTACTCACCATCATCTTAGAATCTGACATGAAATTCATTCTGATTAAACCAACTTCACAAATCTTGTAAAATTTTAAGAATATAATAAATAATCCCTCTGTGCCAGGATATAAGTGGGGGAAGACCCAAGGCCCAGAAGTTTCAACATAGTCAGATTTAAATCTGGCACAATACCATACACTTGGCTTGTGACCAAATGCCAATTTTAGAGGTCAGATAAGCTGCTTAATAATAAATAAGATTTATTTTCTTTCATTTCAAAGCAACTCAAGTCACAAATATACCGTTTCTATTAAGCACAGCAGAAGAAAATTGGGGATGTGTTGAATACTATTCATGGAATCACATTTTTAAAATGTCTCAGCTAAATGACTCTTCACTTGTCACCATCCTTTTTTTCTTTTTTTTTTTTAATATTTATTTATGCATACAAGAGCTGGGGTGTAGGACAGAAATGTGGGGAGTAAGAGGATTCACCAGAGACAGAGTGGGGAGCAGAACAGGAGGAATATTTGAAATACACTGCGGAGGGGAACAGTGGGATACGAGAGGTCTGTGGCACCATGTGGGTCAGTTCCCTGGCCTGGGATTGTGCTTCAGTGGCTGCTGATAGTTTGATAGTGCTGAGACTTAACTCCTTGCCCACCAGGGAGGACATCACCATTCCTCAGTCTAATCCTACTGGCTCCTCAAATCCAGTGTTTAATTATCCTTGGATATGAAACCCTAAAAATTAATTTATTTAGGTAAGTGTAGCAAGTTCTGATGGGTAACAGAACCTTACTTTAATACACTTGAGAAATACTTTATAACAGATGGTGACCTACTGTTGTACTATCTAGAACAGACTACAGTTTTCACAAATGTATTTTGATTTTATTATTTTTTTGTTGTTGTTGTTAAAAACCTTCCTTTTTCTCTTTCCTCTCTAAGGGTTTAGAGTATTCTACTCTGTGAAAGTGAATAAAGGCTACAAGGAAAGCGGTTAAAATGACCCTCCAATATCTTCCTCTCTTCTTCAAAATACAGTCACTTATGGTCATTTATATCATGACAATAATTCAACAAACAAAACATAATTACAGTAATCAGTAATGCAGTATCTTTATTATGTATAGCTGCATATAGGTTGCATATTTTCATATAGAATATTTGTTATTTATCTATAATCAGATAAACAGCACTATTCTGAGGGCCCATTCATTAAATTATAACTATAATTTTCTTGACTAGAATTAGACATCATAATGATATGCTATACTGGGAGCTTGACTGACTAAGCTAGAAAATTACTGAGCAGTTAAAATGGACTGGGAGAGATACAACCTTTGTTGCAAGCTAACAAACACTACACAAAGTCTTAGGTATACGCTACCTTATTTCATCCTCCATAAGTCACAGCAAATTTTTTACCCATTTTATAGATGAAGAAGTCAAGGTTTACACTACTACAAAGTGGAGAGTTAAGGCTATGCTGAAAATCTTGGGGAAGGAAAGGAAGGGAGCAGAGGATCAGAAGCAGGCAAAGAAATGAAATCAATGATATAAAAGAGACACAGAATTATCTGTAATACCACATAACATAGGTGCACACACAGCATTACCTGGCTTCTACTCCAGGTCTTGTGGGTGGTTTTCCTGGAGGTGGCCGAGGCAAAAACTGAGATGAAGTTGAGCTACTGATTTGATCTGTGCTGATCCATGAAACTGGCCTTGGAATTTTGCTCTTTCTGGATTGAGAAATAATGGGTGACAGGAAGCTGTCTTCAGCTGACCTGCTCAGGTGTGTGTCTACAGCCATTCTTGAAAAGGGAGTGAAGACTTCCTCCTCAGAAAAGGAAGTAGGAACAGTGGCTAGTCTCTCTTCTAGCAATTTATCAGAGGCACTTGAGAGTTCCCCAAGGAAAGACTTGAGTTGCTTTTTTTCCACCAGAAGTTTGACTAGATCTGGTTGATAGGCTTTCTTTTGGAGAAGCTTTTCTTTTGCAGAGACTGGAGAAGATGATTCAAAAGTTGAGTCTATCTCTTGTGCTAAAACAGGGATACGACTGTGTCTAGTTACAAATGATGACCTAACCACATCCTTCCGGGATGGAGGACAATGTTCACTCTCTGAAACACAGTGATACAGTTCTCCATTTCTAGGAGCAATTTTCTCTCTCTTACCTTCTTGGTGCAAAAAAGTAGATAGGTCACCTTGATGACCTGGCAAGTCTTCAGTCTTGATGTCATCATCCTTACATAATTTACTTTTTTGTATTATTGCCCCCTGACCTATCTGTCCTTCAACATGTGAGTCAATGACCTGTGAAGGAATTTCTGAAGTTTCAACTGCCAAAAGCTTCATTACCTCCTGATTTTTGTCTTGATTTGGCACCACACTAAAAGTCTGAGTCTTTGTCACATCAAGAGGCTCACTGGTGGCTGAGTGATCCCTTTCCAGAGTTACCAAATCTCCAGGGAGAGAGGAGATCTCAATACAATGCTGTCCTTTACTTAACTTTTCATCTTCATTGTCTGACCCTAAGAAAATGCTTTTTTCTTCAGTTTCCCTAGGGAGATTATCAAAATCTCTCACAGTCAATCGATTATGGTCAGGAAGGTCTTTCGATCCCTGGTCTTGGGATTTGTCACACTCTCTAGTATTGGGTAACATTTCATGACCAATATTATCTACCTGAAGCCCCAAGTCTGTTCTGCTTCCTCCACTAGGAGGTTCACCCTCTGTCACAACCAAGCCAGAGAAGTTTTCCCTGGGAGAATAAAGTTCTACAGTGGGCTCCATGGGCTGAAGATCTTTCTTCTCTGGCTGCTGACCATAGTGAAAGCTTCCTGAAGTTGACTGTGTAGATGCCACAGAAGGTCTAGGAATTGTAATCTACAGAAAGATGGTAAAAAACACCAAAATGCAATAATGAGCAATGTAAATAAAGCTGCATGAGTTGAGATTTAACACCTTAAATTCTAACTTATAAAAGGAACATAGATATAAATCAGGCCTGCCCAACTTATACTTAAAATGAGCAATTCTGAATAAAACTGCATGGCACTTCACTCCTTAGCCCCTTGTAAAGAACAGTCTCCCTCTTAGTTCATCCTTTTCTTTAGCCTGCTCTGTGCTCTAAAAGACTGACTGACTTCTCTTTACTGTGTTGTCCAGATTCCCTAGCCTTCTGATTTTTGAAAGGTTTTGCCCAAAGAGCAGTTGGCTTTGCCCAACAAAGATGAAGTGAAAAGGAGAGGAAGATCTGGGCGTTAATCCTCTCTGTTTCCTCCCTAAGGGACTGAAGCTTTTATAGTGACTACATTCTACCACTCCTGGTCACAGTTACTGTTGGGTGACCTCTCTCCTACAGAATGACTCTCACCAGCTTCTGCTAACAGTCCCACCCCAAGCCTCCTATCAGGACTCAGGACAGAAGAAGCTTCCTCTATTGCTGGTCTTATTCTCTTAACTCTACCCATGAGCTATAAAAAGTTCCCGTCTCCAAGTTTTTGAGCATGAAAACCAGAATTCAGATGCAGAGCTGAAAGAAAATAAGTACTGTACATTGAAAATAACCAAACTTACATGCCTTTTACTTCTTTCCATAAGTTCTATCAATTCGAATATTGTATCTTCCTATAAGCAACGATTTACAAAGCACTGAGAAGCTAAAGCCAATTCCACATGAGTTCGATTCCCACCTGCCCTGGAGGTGACCACATGGCGTGGCAGACCTCTCCTGACCTGCCCGCTGCTCCCCTCAGCAGTGGGCCTGTTCTGTTCCCTGTTCTGTCTCTGGTGAATCCTCTCACCACCCCTGAGCCTCTGGCCTGTACCCCAGTTCTGTATGCACAAATAAATCAATCTTAAAAAAAAATACTTTAATTTTTAGGGCGCTCCCTGGTACCGCAGCAGGTTGGAGTGCTGCGAAGCTAAGCCAAGCCGTGGCTGCTTCAGTGCAAGTTCGATCCCTGCCCTGGAGGTGATCCACATGGCAAGGCAGACCTTTCCTGTCTCGCCCGCTGTTCCCCTCAGCAGTGTACTTAGTGGATCTGCCTGTTCTGCTTCCCACTATTTCTGGTGAATCCTCTCACTGCTCCTGCATCTCTACCCTGTACCCTATTTCTCTATGCATAAATAAATAAAAATCTTGAAAAAAACTTTAATTTTTAAATTCTAGGTAAATTAAATTCTACCACCTTTCCACTGAGTGATAATATCTGAATAGGATTCAGTGTTTAATAAGAATTTCCTTTCTTAAGATACTTAAGCTTCTACCTCTTCACATGTTAAAAGTGACAGGCAAGGAAACAGAACATATCAACCCCATAAACAGAAAAGGAAAAAAGCCTTTTTGAGATATTACTAAGTCAAATCACTTAATGAAATCCATTATGTTCTGGGGAAACTATGAAAATTGGTCTGAATTCAAAGCAAAATGTATTTGAAGTTTTAGCTTAGATCCCATTTCTACTTCAGAGACACCAGGAAACTGGTGTTACTATACCATTCAGTAATTTACTTAGATCTGCTTCACTGTATTAGGAATACAATTAAGCTTAGTCTTCTGAAACTGAGGCTAGCAAATAATGTAATTTTGAGGTTAAACTCATTTTAAATTGAGAGGACACAATGTAATTGTATGGATGAGATGAAAAAAGGGTGAGATGAAAAAAGTTGTGGCAGTCTTGTACACTGACAAGAGATTTGAACCACCAGCCAGGGCAATTTAGTTCCATGAAAATATTTTGAGCAACAATGATGAACTATGCACAATTACTGCCATATACTTTTCCCATAGCATTTTAAACTTATATTAAAATAATTTGTACTAATTCTGTTATTATTACTAATTTTTACTACTAATAATTTTATTATTTTCCCCTATATTTTAAATGAGAAGAATTATTTTGGGTAGAATTATTAATATCAATTTCACAAATGATGGAAAACCGTTAAACTAAGTCAGGAATAGGATTTGGGGACTTTACAGCACAGTGGATGCATAGTATAGCACAGCCTACTACCATGCACCACACTCTCTCAATTGAAACCAAATCTGCAAAAACATTATCTGACAAAAGGAGAAAAGCCAAATGTCAATAGCTAAAAGCAGAAAATGCAAGTTTATTATTAGTTGAAAATAATTTCCTTGAACCTAGACTATGAATACAGAAAAGCAATTACCCATTTGTGGACATGATACAAAAAGACAAAATTAATAATCTTTTAGTGAGGAATTTTCATTATCTTTAATTTCTATAATTCACAAACATTTTATTAAAGCATAAATCCAATCATTTTCTTTCTTGTGCTCTCTAACTGTGTCAGATATACCTTCTATAGCTAGACAACAATGTCAATATTTTCCATATCATTTATATCTTGTTTTTATTAAAATGCCCAGTACTAAGTTTGACTAATATCACTCTCACATTTCATTTCTGATGAAGCATCCTCATTATCTTAAAGTCATCACATTTTTAGAACTGTCTCATAGCAAGAGATAATAAAATGCAAATCAATTATTATTTACACTTTAACTTAAAATCACCCTTTTATTTTTCTCTCACTCAAGAATAGTAATATTATTAAGATAGCAAAAGCTTTGGGAAATTCAACATTCCTATCAATAGCCTCTCTTCCAATAACAAACCAAAAAGCAAATAGCCTCTCTTCCCAATGAAAGGTATACAAAATATAACTCAATTTGTTTTTTTTGGCAAATATTCAGAAGAAATGCAGCTAGCCAAGCAACTTACAAGAGATGCTTCTCAAAGAGGAAACAGCTCTGCACAGAGTGTACAGCTGGTCTAGCCATGTCTTGACTAGATTTCAGCCCCAACTTATTCCCTTGGCTAGTCCACTTTATGCAGAGAACAACTGTACAATTGTACAAAGCATTCCTAGGGAAGACAATTCTGATAAAGAGAGAAACACTTATGAAATGCAGGTAAACTCCTACAAAAGTGTACAAAAAATGAAATTTTATTATCTTTTCTCAATGTTGTACATCTCGATGTGCTCTAAAAGAAGACATTTCATCTTCCCTAAGCTTGAATTTCCCTAAGTTGTTTCTAGTGAGGTAGAAGGGAAGGTTAGAAATGATTCCTAAATTTAAGAAAATCATACTACTCCCATCCATGTAAGAATAGATGTAACTACTGGTATATGAAAAACTTTTCTGTACATAGTTCCTTGCTATCACCACATTTGTTTTTTTCTGAGGCTCCTACTGCTCACACAGTACACTGCTTACTGACATAAGAGGTAACAGCCATCGTCACCTGATTGTCTAAACTGAAAATAACAGTAGTTTCCTCAAAACATTCCTTTGCAGAAGACCTGTACATCACAATTACTTTCTGCTGTTTGTTAGAATGCAGATTACAAGTTTGCTTCATTTCAGACCTAAGAAGTAGTTCTGGAAGTGAGGCCTGGACTCCTTATTTTAAACAATCAACAGTGAAAGTAGAAAAACTAATAGTTAAAAGCAATTTAAGAAGAGAAATTTTGAGGAGGTAGATATAAAAGAGAAAGGGAAATAAAGAATTAGGCTGAGCAACAGTATAAATTTTAAACCATGAATGTTAAATATATGCCTTCCTCACCATATTTATAATACAGAGATTCAAAATCTCTAGAAGTACAAATTTTAAAACTACACATACATAAATAGTTTTTTTGGTCTAAATTATAAATGTTATTCTGAAATGAGATTACAATGACATATGTGTCAAGTATTGAGTTTCTGACAGATCACATTTTTATTCACCGAAAGCCTCCTCTCAGACTAGGGTACATGCCAGAGGTGTGGGTGGGATGAGAGGATTCACCAGAGACAGAGTGGGGAGCAGAACAGGAAGATTAACTGATATACACTGCTGAGGGGAGCGGCAGGCAGGTCAGAAGAGGTCTGCCGCGCCATGTGGATCAGCTCTCTGGCTGGGTATCGAAGTTGTCCTACTGTGGCTTTGGAGAGCTTCATAGAGCTGTGCTTTAACCCGTTGCACCACCAAGGAGAGGCCACAGAAATATCATTTAAAAAAATTTTTCGTATAAGAAAACTATAGAATGTAGTCCAGATATCCCTCCTTATACTCTTAGCCAAACTTAGTTGGTCAACTCTTAATTCTTTCCTAATAGTACCTCTTAATGTGCATAACAGAAAAACGACAAGAAAAAATCTCTTACCGCTGTGAGGGGTCCTTCTGCTTGTGCCTCCATTGGACTTGTGGGTGTTGCTGCAATAAACTGACTGGCAGTTCCAACCTGGAGTTCCAGCCTATCTGTATACTGTTCTGAAGCCGCAGTGACAGGGTACTCCCCAGAAAGTGCTAAAACCACACCTGAAGCTTCCTTCTTTAAATGATCATTTTTTGACCATGGATCCAATCGTTGTTTTTCATCTTGAGGAGATTCCTCTAGGACTTGAAGCACTTCAGGTTCCTCATCAGAAGGACTTGCAGTTGTTTTATGGCCTAAAGCCTCATTTGTCCTAAAATCCCGAAGGTCCTGCTCCTTGTCCACAATCACCCACTCTTTGGAATCAATATCCTGCTTGCAGGAGCTCAGGTTAACAGCTATAAATCCATTGCTGCCACCACCATCTGCCTGCTCAGGAGTGTTGGCAGAGGCAGGCTTGGAACCGTCTGGAAGATATTCATCATCATAGTGCCAGATGTGGTCAGTACGAGACACAGCAGGAATACAAGGCTTGTGAAGCAGAGCAGGGAGAAAAGATTCTTTTCCTGCACCAGAGTCTTTTTGCATTTTCTCCAGGCTTAAGAAAATGGAGAGAAATTATGCAAAGGTTTTAGGGAAGTATTTACTACATAACCTCTGACCTCTATACAAAACTAATATTCACATAAAGAAAAGGGAAAAAGTAGGATAAAGTATAAGGAAAGGTTCACAGGTTGATAATGTGCTTCTCTACCTGCTGTAATCCTGTTTTGGAAAATGAAGCTCAAGAGAGGAAGCTGTCTCTCCTCTTCTACTATGTTATAGTTGACTGGTGTGATACAGTTCACCTTTATTTTGTCTATTCAGTCATATTGCCCTCTGCTCTCTACTTTCCTGAGAAACTGCAGAGCAATTTACCCAAGGTTTTGTTTTTGTCTTTTTCCCCCCTTGCAGAAGCCCTACCAAAAGAAATGAACTAAAAGTCAAATACTTTCTGTTTCTGTTTTGTTTTCAGAGATGTACATTGATGTATTCTCATTCAAATAAACTCCAAAGAAAGGTACTGTAAGAAGAAATGGCACTGTTACAGTTTTACCAGGCATATTCCAGTGTGCACACAGAGCTCCACATATGGTGGTGAAGGGACAATTCAAGGCATATTTTCATTTTCACTGGATTAAAAGGCAGATGACATTGTATACAAATCTCTCTCCTGGCTGAGGAACAAGCAGTAGTGTGATCGGTAGTGTTTGGCTATACTAGCATCTGAGAAACAATCCCGTCTGTAGGAAAGCAGATGAAGCAACACATTTTTTCCTTTCCTTAATACTGTAAATAGATGCCTCAATTCTTTCTAACTTTCCAGAGTCATTCTAAGTTCTGACTTAAGTTGGATAAATTCTATTTTCAACTCTGTCTTACCTCTCTGTTTTTCCCTAAGGAATTTTCTTTACCAAGTGAAGTATTTATTGTTATTGTACTCATATTTATTCTCAGTAATAGTCATAACTTAAAATATTGAAAACAATGTCCCAATCCTAGTCTAACCTTTTGATCTTATCTATATGTAGACAGTAGCCTATATCACATAGTGGCCAGACTAAATAATTACCATCTGAGGAAAAACACATATATAAGGATTATTTAAAACAGAAGCTGGATTGGAATAGACCAGAAGTGACTGAATTATCATCAGGCACAATACTACCAGTCAAAGACATGGTTATTTTAAGCTAATATTTCACCACTAGTAGTAGTCACTGTTGTATATTGAGGATGTGACTATTATTAAAGGTACTCAGTTCTCAATATTACTTAAGACTTCTTTAGTTATAAATATTTGTCTTCTTTTGTCTTCTGTTACCAAAACTAGGGGAAAATGGCTTCAAAATCATCACCTACAAATAGTCATTACATTTGCACACCACTCAAAAGCTCCACTTTTCCTTCTTTCAAGAAGAATGATAAACTTAATGTCTATTTTTCTACACACAGGCCTTCATTAAATTGACTCAAGCTGCCTGTCCCTTTTCTATAAGTTACCTCTTATTCCTCTCTCACATACTCTATCTTTCTGTCTAATGCCATCTTTATAATGTCCTTTCCAACTATAAGCTGAATTTTCATCATTCCAATAAAAGAGATCATCTTCCAAACAAAATCACTTTAAAAATGTTCATTTAACTTGTACCTATGTTACGTTACCAGTTCCCACAACTAAGCTCTCAAAGCTTAAGGCTATGCCAAATAATTTATAACCATGATTGAAGACAATTCACATTAAGAACCAAAATGGTAATTAAAATGACAGAAAATGAGTTTAATTAAATCAGTTGTACAAAAATGCAAGAATTTATTATCATTGTAACATGTTATTCATTAGAAGTAATAACATTGTTTCCATGTAGATGCTAAAAAAAGAAAAACTATTTCATACCATGTCTCAAGAAACTTGTCAGTGTCTGGCTTTGGCTCTAATGTGAGACGTTTTTCCAGCTCAAAGCTGTGTATGGATCGTAATTTTCGCACCAATGGAACATCTCTGTCTGGCTGAGTAATCTCTGAGCGAACACGAACTGGTGAACTGAGACTTGGAGCATTCAGAATACCGTTTGCTTGACCATGGCTATTTTCCTCTTCAGTAGCAGCCTTGACAAAATATAAAATAAATCATAACATTAATTCCAGTTACTATATATGGAAATAATCATTGAAGTTCAAAATGATTGGGATACATTTTCAGATGGATATTTGGGCTAGTTTAGTTTATTACATACCTATTAATCTAATTTAATTTCAATAAACTTTTTTTTTTAAAGATTTATTTATTTATTCATACAGAACTGGGGTACAGGCCAGAGATGCAGAGGGTGAGAGGATTCACCAGAGACAGAGTAGGGAGCAGAACAGGCAGATTGATGAAGTACACTGCTGAGGGGAGCAGCGGGCAGGTCAGGAGAGGTCTGCTGCGCCATGTGGTCACCTCTGGGGCAGGCGGGGATCGAACTCATGCTGAAGTGGCTTAAGCTTCTTTGTGCTGTGCTTTAACGCGCTGCGCCACCAGGGAGGGCCAATTTCAATAAACTTTTAACCTAATAAATAAATTTTTAAAAATTTTTTCTTTATTTTTAATTGAGGTAATATCTGGATATCCACATTCAGATATTACCACTGCAGTGCAACCACCATCAAGTCACCCATAGTCCACCATCATCACAGGTCACTGTACTTCTTTCCTCTTTGTTCCTATTCTTCCTTACGCCCCTCACTGTTTCAGTTCTATAAGTTATGAAGCCTTAGGTGTTTTTTCCTTTTTATTTAAATATTTAAGCTTTATTTATTTTTTTATATAGTAACTTATTTTTACATCATTTTGTGCATTTTTCCATCTCATTTGCAATCCCCTTGGGCTTCCCATCACCAAATCACCCATGTGCCATCACCATAGTCCAGTGCATTTCCCTCCCTTCACTGATCCTATTCCCCACTCCACCTCCATAAAATGTCTCTGGTATATACCTGTTCATCATTATCTTTATTTTCTCCACTGGTCCTTTATACTCCTGCTATGAGTGAAACCATTCGGTATTTTTCCTTTTCTTTCTGGCTTATTTCACTAATAAGCTTTATTTTTTACATAATTGCTCATTTTTGTACAATATTTGATTTCTTTCTTAGGGTGTGGTCCCCATAACCCCTCTATCTTCCCTTATATATGCCTCAGGTTCAAGGGTTATTTTTTAATCTCGTATTTATCTAACTCTTAGTAACTTCCCAGTCTATACTGCATTATTCATCACTTAGCATTATTCTTCAAGCTCCATCCATGTTGCCATAAGTGACATAGTTTATCTATTTAGATTGTATAATATTCCATTGTGTTAACTTCTTGATCTGATCCAGGCCACATAAGTTGTTTTCATAATTTAGCTACAGTAAATACCACTGCCATAAATATGGGAATACAAATTATCTTTCAAATTAGTGTTTTTGAATTTTTTTGGTTAGATGCCTAGGACTAGAATTACTGGGTCAAGTGACAGTTCCATTTTGAATGTTCTGAAACATCTCCAGAGTGGTTTGCATATCCACCAGCAGTGCAAGAGGGTTCCCTCTGCTCCACTCCCTTATCAGCACTTGTTTTTTCTGATCTTCTTTGTATTACTTTTTTTTAAAAGATGTATTTTATTTATTTATGCATACAAGAGCATTGTATAGGCCAGAGGAGTGGGGCAGAAAGGAGAGGTGTGTATGAGAAGATTCATTTGACAGAGGCAGATCCCCTGAAATACACTGCTGAAGGGAGCGTGGGCAAGACAGGAGAGGTCTGCTGCATCATGTGGGTCAGCTCCCTAGCCTGGGATGGAACTCGTACTGCAGTGGCTGACAACAATTTGTTAGTAAGACTTTAGCCCTTTGCCACTAGGGAGGCCCTGTTTCTGGTCTTTTTGATAAAGCCATTCTCACAGGTGTGAGAAGGTATTTCATGGTGGTCTTGACTTGTATTCTCTAATATAAGTGATAGTGAACATTTTTTCATGTGCTTGTCAGTCATCTGAATGTCTTCTTTGGAGAAATGTCTCTTTAGTTCTTTTTCCCATTTTTCAATTGGTTGTTTTGTTTTCATAGAATTTCATAAGTTCTTTATCTTTCATATCAATCCTTTGTCAGATATATGGTGTACAAACATTTTCTCCCATTCAGCTGGGTATCTTTTTATTTTAATTATGATTTCTTCCACTGTCCCTTTTTAGTTTGATGTAGTTCCAGTTGTATTTTATGTTCTCTTTTGTTTTCCTTGCCGTTGGGGATGAATCCCTAAAAGCATCACTAAAATTTATGTCATGAAATGTTTTGCTATATTTTCTTCTATGTATTTTATGGTTTCAAGTTTTATATTATTTTTTTTTTATTTGTACAGAACTGGGGTACAGGCCAGAGATGCGGAGGGTGAGAGGATTCACTAGAGACAGAGTGGGATACAGAACAGGCAGATCGACAAAGTACACTGCTGAGGGGAGCAGTGGGCGGGTCAGGAGAGGTCTGCCTCACCATGTGGATCTCCTCCGGGACAGGCTGGGATCTAACTCATGCGGAAGTGGCTTTAAGCTTCTTTGTGCAGTGCTTTAACCCAATGCGCCACCAGGGAGGGCCTTTATATTCATTTTTAAGTTGATTTTGGTGTATTTTATGAGTTAGTGGTATAGTTTATTCTTTTACACTCAACTGTAATTTTCCCCGCACCATTTATTGAAGAGTCTATCCTTGTTCCAGTGTATGCCATTGACTCATTTGTCATAAATTGTCTATACAGGTGTGGGTTTATTTTGGGACTCTCAATTATAGTGCATTAGTCTGTGTGTGTCTGTTTTTTGTTCCAGTAACAGGATATTTTAATTATTATGGCTTTATAATATATACTTTGAGGTTTGGAAGTGTGATATCTCTATTCCTTTTTGTCAGTATTGCTTTTTTGGGTCCTCCCTGGTGATGCAGCAGGTTAAAGTGCAGCACTGAGAAGCTAGCTAGCCACAGCCATTTCAGCACGAGTTCAGCAAGTTCAATCCCAGAGGTGATCTACATGGCGCAGCAGACCTTTCCTGTCTTGCCCACTGCTCCCCTCAGCAGTATATTTTGTCAGTCTACCTGTTCTGTTCCCCACTGTCTATGGTGAATCCTCTCACCACCCCTGCACTTCTGGCCTCTGCCCCAGTTCTGTATGCATAAATAAATAAATCTTTAAAAAAAATTGCTTTTGCTTTTCAGTGTCTTTATGACTCCATATGAATTACAGTGATATTAGTTCCATTTCTTTGAAAAATGATATTTTTGTTGGAATTTCATTGAATCTGTATTTTACTTTGAATAGGATGGCCGCTTTGACAATGTTGATTCTTCCAGTGTATAAGCAGGGAATAATTTTACATTTCTTGGTGTCTTTTATTTCTTTCAACAATATCTTAAGTTATCTTTGTAGAGATCTTTTACTTCCTTTATTTACTCCTAGGTATTTGATTTGTGTGTGTGTATAATAGTAAATGCAGTCATTTTCCTAATTTCTTCCTCTTCTTTCTCATTGTTAGTACACAAGAAGGGCAATGGATTTTTGTGTTGGTTTTGTACCCTGCCACTGACTAATCTGATTGTTTTGATTAGTTTTCCTTGGAATCTTAAAGGTTCTTTCTGTATATTATCATGTCATTTGCAAATAATGATAGCTTTAACTCTTCTTTTCCAATATGGTTTCCTTTTATATCTTTCTCTTGTCTAACTGATCTAGCTAGAACTTCCCATAATTGTTGAATAGTAACAATGAGAGTGACATCCTTGTCTTGTACTAGGATCTAGTAAAAAAGGTTTCAGTTTTCACCACTGAGAATGTTATTAGCTATGGATTTGCTGTAAATGGCTTTTATTATGTTAAGGTATGTTCCATTTATCCCCAATATTTTAAGGTTTTTTTTTTTTTAATCATAAATAGGCTTTAGTTTTCTATCAAATGCTTTCTCAATATCTATTGAGAGTGCCATATTGTTTTTATCTTTCTTTTTGTTAATGTGGTGAATTGCTTCAACTGATTTTGAGATGTTGAGTCATCTTTGTATGGTTGGTATGAATCCCACTTGGCCATGGTGTATGACCCTTTTAAAACATTGTTGGATTTAGCTTGTGAAAACTTTAAGGACTTGTACGTGTCTGTGTTATTTTTAGTTCTGGTATTAAAGTAATGTTGGCCTTCAATGAGTTTTCTTAATTTATACACAGTTTCAGTATTATTTTTGTTTTTTAAGTTTAGATAAACAGAATAAAAATGTTCAATAATCTTTCTTTTTGTATAATTTTTAACTAGTCACTTGCAGAAACCTATTTCTCTAAACTAAAATAGAGAAAGGAAATTCTCTTTGAGACGTAATTGGTACAACAAGAAGTAGGAGCTTACTATACTTAAACACCCCATCTTGTCCTTCACTAAAAATGAAATAACAAGAAAATCTGGAGATAGAACAGTAAGGAAGAGGCTGAGTATGTTGCAGGCCAGAGGAATAAGGCTACCTAATGACAAATGCCTATCGCAGCACAGTTGTCAGTGAAATTAAGCCTTACATTAAGTGTGAAGTAGAAGGGGAATCTGAGATATATATTTTGATTTGAGACCCTCAAGAAGATGCCCAATTGACCTCAAACTGGGAGTATACTCTGGCTACCAGTAGAAACAGAACACAATTCTTCAACCTCTAATTTAATTCTACAGTACTTGCACCAGTTATTAAGTAATGAATAAAGCTCTAAAGATAGTAAAACATGAGAAGGTGTGCAATTATTACTTAAAAGTCTGCAGAAATGATAATTTATATAAAAAAATACATTGAAAACTTCCAAGAGACTTCAGATATCAAATACTCTGTTACAGAATATAGACAATCAGAGCTGTATGCACAGTAAGTCAAATAAATAGGTCCTTTTCAAAAATATTGTTAACAAAGATTATTTGGAACTAATTGATAAATTTAACATTGAACATTCAATTAACAAGGTAAACAGCAAAAAAAAAGCCAGTGATTAATTAAGTGAATAAGAAGTTAATAATTAGTGAATATATATTTATATATACACAGATATATAAACACACACATATATATGGACCTTTGAACACCAATAATTGACATCAGAGGAACAGTAATTGTCAATCAAGACCTCTGAATCCAGCATAAACTGTCTTTGAAAGAGGCAGATAGAAATATATTGACAGCTAAGTAAAAACAGAAATACTCGACCAAAAGACCTGACCTAAAGGTCAAGAAAAAAGGTGAGTCCAAGACTTCCACAAAATGCATGGAAATGATAAAAAAAAAAATTAGTTCATATTTACATTACTTGTGTGAAAGAACAAAAACTAAGACTAATTCAAATAATTTTTTGATGAATTTTAAAACAGAAGAGAACTAAATACAGACTGAATAGTGATAATGGATGAGACAGAAAATAAAGAGTAAATAAGCTCTTCCTTGTCCAGTGCCATTTCACTCTCACATATACGCATAGACACCCACATAATCTGGCAACTGAAAATGTCACTGGAGACATTTTATAATAAACAGCGTGCTTTCGATGCCACAGACAGCCACAGTTCACAAAAATCTGACACTGACCTCCCAACTACTTTTTAGTACTATTTTTGATTATTCTTATTCCAGATGTGCTTATTTAGCAGTCAGCTCATAGTGCAGCATATCACATTTATACTAAGAATGCTTTTCCAAATGTCTCCTATAACAAAGGAGACATTTTTTAATTAAAAAAATATTTTTAATTTATATATATTTTTTACATTGTTGTTCATTCTCCTCTCTGGTGTAATCCCCATAAAATGACCACCACCAAGACACCTGTGAACCATCACCATAGTCTCTTTTTTTTTTTTAAAGATAAAGTTTAACACTGTAGTAAATGTAGTACAAAGGTAGGCCTAACTCCTGGAAGAGATTACAGAAGACTTTTTATGATATATTTCCCATTCATAAAGCCTGAAAAGTCATCTTCCTATCAAATGTTAAGAAGCATGAGCCTAACTAAAATAAGTGTAACTTCATTTTACACTTAAAAAAGTTAAACATTATGGTAATGAACAGTAATACCAAAGAGAAACTTGGGATGTCCTAAGATCACTGAAACTTAATCATTTAATCCAGATATCTATATATCTCACAAACAGGCCCGCCCAAAATCTAATGAAGAAAAAAAATCACGTAGTTTATTCACATCCATTTTCCATCAGCTCATGAACAGTTTTTGCTTTCTACTTCCTACCCTTACTTTCCACCTCTACTTGAGACAGTTCTCAGAGTAAGTACTCATAGCTCCTTTGGTCCACACTAATCAAAGGGCCCAGATTCTAATCACATTATTTGGAAAGACAATTAACTTTTATGCTACCCAGCTACCTTTTCTTTTAGCCTCAATGTCTGTTTTTTTTTTTTTTAAACACATTCATCTTTTCTACAGAATATGAGATGAAGATTAATGCTAGGTGTCCATAGTTAAGTATAAGTAAAATTAGCTTAAATACTGTGATTACAAAAAAATAAATAAAAAGTAATACAATTGTCTAACTTATGATTAAAATGAGCATCATGATACTTTGCTTTGGCAATAGGAAAAAAACAATATAAACATAAGAAGATACAATTTTATGTAAGAAACACATACTTTACAAATTCCAAGCTTTATCTTGTTCCTGTTGGCATCCATCTCTTCCCAGACATCCTTCTCTTGTGGACGAGGGTGTCCCGGAGATCCAGGCAATTTATCTGGTGACATACCAACAGGAATGCCATTCTCCCCATCACTGAGCTGTTCATCTGGAAACACCTCATCTGTATTTTCTCGAAGCAGGTCTCCTGGGATGGGGGTAGCATTGGCAATTCTAAAACAGAGAGGTGACAAAAGGATATAATTTAAAAACAGCACATCAAAAATTACTGAGCTTACCCTACATTTTGTTTCTGGTTTAAATGATGACATCTATACAAAATTAAGACAGGGCCCTCCCTGGTGGCACAGCGGGTTAAAGCACTGAACTAAGAAGCTAAAGCCACTTCCACATGAGTTCGATTCCCGCCTGCCCCGGAGGTGACCACATGGTGTGGCAGACCTCTCCTAACCCGCCCACTGCTCCCCTCAGCAGTGTACTTCGTAGATCTGCCTGTTCTGCTCCCCACTCTGTCGCTGGTGAAGCCTCTCGCCGCCCCTGAGCCTCTGGCCTGTACCCCAGTTCTGTATGCACAAATAAATAAATCTTTAAAAAAAAAAACAAAATTAAGAGAAAAAAAAACAAATAAAACCAAAGATCTTTGGAAAGTTATGCCAGTTACTAGTGTGCTTCTCTCTATGCCTCCTTGAATCTCTTATGGTTGTTGTTTCCTAAAGACCAGGCCAGAGGTGCAGGGGTGGTGAGAAGATCCACCAGAGACAGAGTGGGGAGGAGAATAGGCAGATTGATGAAGTACACTGTTGAGGGGAGCGAACTTGTACTGATGTGGCTGTGGCTACCTTCGCAGTGCTGTGCTTTAACCCACTGTGCCACCAGGGAGCCCTTTGATTTTTAAACTTTTTACTGAGACATCTACTGATAATCTTAGGGGGTTCCTTGATATGTGACTCTGCTTTTCCCTGGATGCTTTTAGGATTTTCTCTTTATTTTTCATTTTTGTCATTTTCATTATAATTAATGTGCCTTGGTGTTTCTGTTCATGTTTGTTTTGTTGGGAACTCACTAAATTTCATGGGCCTGGATGTTTATGTCCTCCTTCAGTTTCGGCAAGTTTGTTTCTTTCCCTTTCTTTTCTCCTGGAATCCCTACAATTCAAATGTGGTTGTTCCTATAAGTCTCTTGTGCAGTCTTTATTTATACTGTTCTTTTTTCTTTTGGTCAGGATTTTTGGACAAGTTTCACTTATTTTCTGGTCCATTGATTCATTCCTTGGGCTCACTGAGTCTATCGGTGAGTCCCTCTACAGTATTATTAAATTCAACTGTTGTAGTCTTTGTCACTGTCACCTGTCTGAACCTTTTCATATTTTCTCTGTTCTTGTTATTTCTCATCTTGTTCATCTATTGTTCTCTTAGTTTCAGTAAGCATCACTAAGATTATTGCTTTGAAGTCTTCCACCAGAAGTTTGGTTAATTCTGGTGTGTTAGGGAATTTTCTCAGGGCTTTATCTTGTCCCATTGATGGGGTAAATTCCTCTACTTCCTAACTTTGTTTGATGTTCTGTAGTTATTTCCGTAGATTAAGCTAGACTGCTTTTCTTCCCAGTCCTGCTGTGATGACCTTGAAATAGATTTCTAATGTTGTTTTAGTTGAAACCTTATCACCAAATAGGATGACTAGAGCTTAAGAGCCAATGCAGGAGGAGTGGTCTAAGAACCTAGTATATAAGGTGGGAGACCTGGAGGTATGCAGGTTGTTGCAGATTGCCAAGGGTATAGCCTCTCTTAGTATTTACAGCCACTTGAGCCAAGACAGGGCTCTGCAATCATCCTCTGGTTAAAACAGACTGAGGCAGCCCATTTGATGGTGCTCTCCTAGTAGTTCTGAATTACAATGACCTTTAGGATGAAGTGATATAATGTGTAGTAGTTAGGCTGTAAAAATGTCTGTCAAGCTCAGGGAAGCCAGATGAGTTCAGGCGTGGGTAGGGATGAGAGTTTTCATGACTATGGAGCTAGCCAGCAGTCCCAAGTGTAGCAGCTACCTGCTCAGCCAGCAGTTAGTGTTCTTTCAGGGAGGTAGTAAGGTCATGTTCACTAGTCTGCAATGGACCAGGAACACCAGGATCCTTGGGAAGAAGAACAGTGACTTTCTGAATGCCAATCAAACTGTCAGTAGCCTATACCAGGTCAGTTCAATGCCTGCCTACTTGGTCATGGTGTACAATCCTTTCAATACATCGTTGGATTTTATTAAGGATTTTTGTGTCTGTGTTCATAAGGAAGATTTCATCTGTAGTTGTTTTTTTTTTTTGTATGTGTGTATGATGCCTTTTTTTTTTTTTTGGTTTTGGTTTTGGTGTTAAGAGTAATGTTGCCTACATACAAAATATTTGGAAGTATTTTTTTCCGATTTTTTGAAAGAATTTGAGCAAGGAAGGTATTAGTTTATCTTTGAAAGTTTGGTAGAATTCACTTGTGAAGTCACATGGTCTTGGACTCTTTCTTTTAATTTCCTTCCTTCTGATTGGCCTTGTAAGGTTCTATTTCTTTCCTCTATCTTGGACTGTATATTTCTAAGAAGATGTCCATCTCTTCTAGGTTATTGAATTTATTAGCATATTGATGTTCATAGCAGTCTCCAATTGTCCTTCAAATTTCTTAATATTTGTTGTGATTTTTCCTTTTTCATTTTTGATTCTATGTATTTGAGATTTCTCCTTTATTTTGTTGGTAAGTATTGCTAAAGGTTTGTCTGTTTTTCAAAGAGCCAGCTTTTGGTTTCATTGATCTTTTGGACTTTTAAATTCCTATTTCATTTACTTCTGCTTTGATTTTTATTTTCTGTTCCACTGGCTTTTAGATTTGCTCTTCTTTTTCTGACTTCTCAAGTTGAGGGAGTAATTTATTATATTTGAGTTCTAACACCTTGATGTGGACCTGTATTGCTATGTATTGCCCTCTCACAATTGCTTTACTATATTGCTTAGGTTTTGGATGGTTATGTATACATTTTCATTTGTCCCTAGTTATTTTTTAATTTCTTCTTTGACTTCCTTATTAATACAGTGAGGACCACCATAATCTCATTTAACCTTTTATCATAGTGTTCCTCAGGTTTCTTTTTTTAAAGATTTTTATTTATTTATGCATACAAGTAACTGGAATATAATAGGTACTGGGGAGTGAAACGACTCACCAGAAATAAAGTGGAGAGCAGAATAGGTTGACTAACTGAAATACATTGCTGAGGGGAGCAATGGGCGAGACAGGAGAGGTCTGCTGTGCCATGCTGACAGCTTGACAGTGCTGAGACTTTAACTCCTGTGCCACCAGGTAGGCTCACGTTTCTGAGTTTTAACTGGTATTGTCCATTTTTCTTCTTTAGCTATTCTGACAATATGAATGCTATTCCTTTTCTGTCTTCCACTTGCCTTGCTTTCTTTCTAACCCTTTAAAATGATTTTTTATTTTATTTTCATTGTCAGGAGGGAATTAATAATTAATTAATTAATTGAAATTCAATGCCCTTTATTAGGTTTTCACTTCAGTCTATTCTCCTTTGTGCATTTAGGAGAACTAAATTTAAAAATAGGAGAACTTTGTAAGTTAGTCAGGCGCAATTTTATCTTTTTCTTTTATTTCTTTCAGAGTTCAATCAACTCTCATTTAATTTCTATCACCACTCCTCTATCTTATCCTTTTTATCTCCCCATTCAATGCAACCTCTTTTGAAATCTATTTCTTAAGTCAAATTTTTGATTCAAGGTGTTATCCATTATTTTTAAATGCATGCCTATAGTTAATTTCATTTGAGGTTTTGTTTTAGTTTTCTTTTATCTTCATGGTTGCTTTTCTGAGGAAAGTTCTTTAGTTAATATATGTTAGATTTTATGAAATTACACTTTATAGACTTTTAAATCTCTTTCTTGTTAATTTTCACATTATCAAGGTGCATTATAAGATCCATGGTTTAATCAGTACTCTCTAATGTCAGTATAGCAATGTTCAAACACTTTATTGAATTTTTACTTTTCAGGGAGGGTCAATATTGTGTGTCCTCTGATTTACAGTTCTTTTTTGTCCTATAGGTAAACTTATTTCTCCTTTTACCTCTCTGCCAATTATAGGATTATTACCTTTCATATCCAAACTCATCCTTTGTGCCCTGTTCTTTGAAAGAGAGTATGAAACTTTTCAGTATTTTCCTTTGCCAGTTGGCAATGGACATGTGTTAGTAGAGAGCAGTGGATAGACAGTGCAGAAGGAAAGTGTTTTGCTTCAGGTTATAGTGTGCAGTCTGGCAAGCTTCTCTAGCATGGATGGCTTTCCCCAAGAGAGGTTCCTATAACATCACATCATCTTCAGCTTCTGTCTCATGTAGCACACAGCTAATAGTTTTCCTGAGCAATCCCAACCATCCAGAGGATTCAGAGTACAGTGCTCTGGCGAGACCCCAATAAAAGGCTTTCAGTGACACCCCAGAGAGCAGATGACCATAGACTTTCAGAGGTATTTTAGCATCAAGCTGACTTCCATGCCATCCAATGATCAACAAACATGCCCTCTCCAACAAAGTCAGATCAGGCCCATAGTGGGGGTTGGGGATGTTCCGCCCAGTGGTTTTAATGCTTGATCTCAGCCCTAGGAATATGAGTGGCATCTTACATGTAAAACTATTCCTAATCTTTTTAAAAAATATTTATTTATTTATGCATACAGAACTGAGAAACAGGCTAGAGATGCAGGGGCAGTGAGAGGCTTTACCAGAGACTGCCAGAGTGGGGAGCAGAACAGGCAGACTGAC